ATCGATAATTGATGTTGAAAGATGCGCAGATTCAATTATAGAGAAGAATTGATAGTAGATTTGGAATTAAAGAATTCATAGATGGAACCAATTCTAGTAAAAAGATATACATTCAACCAATATAATCCAAAAAGAAGAACTAAGATGCCAATCTAAATAGAATAACACAAGCAAATTTAAACCAAAGTAATGGACAGCAAAGAAGATGAAAAGTTTAAAATTGAAAACTTGTATAATTATGAGTTTGTGAATAAACTTTGGCTTGATCTTTATTAGCATAATAGCAATGAATATATACTACATTCAATGGGGTCTCCTATTCTAACCCAAACTCTAGAAAATCAAGATAAAGATAAAAGATATCAATATCCTAATCCTAATGGCTATCAATTCAATCTCCTAATGATATCCAAATTAATCTAAATAATTATCCTAATATAATATATCTTAATACCCCCCCTCAAGTTGGAGCATGACAATCGTAAATTCCCAACTTGGAAATAAGACTATCAAACTGTGTCTTCCCGAGTGGCTTTGTAAAGATATCCGCCAATTGAGAAGTAGTAGACACATAGTGTGGAGATATTAGACCTTCGGTAATTGCATCATGAACAAAATGACAATCAACTTCAATGTGCTTGGTGCGTTCATGAAAAACCGGATTCTTTGCAATATGCAAAGCAGACTGACTATCACAAAATAGTTTAATAGCCTTAGGATGTTGCACTCCTAGACTCAATAATAAAGCCTTAAGCCACTTTAACTCACAAGTAACTCCTGACATGGACCTGTACTCTGCCTCTGCGGAGGATTTAGAAATTGTATCCTGCTTTTTTGTTTTCCATGAAATCGGCGATTTGCCTAAAAATACTAGCCAACCTGTTAGGGAACGACGAGTAAGAGGACATGCTGCCCAATCTGAATCACACCATCCTTCCAATGTAAGGTCACTATCTGAACGAAGTAAAATGTCTTGACCGGGAGTCCCCTTCAAGTAACGAACTACCCTCAAAGCTGCTTCCCAATGATCTGCGCGCGGTGCCTGCATGAATTGGGATAAAATGTGGATCGAATAAGCTATGTTTGGCCGAGTCACCGCAAGATAGATGAAGCGCCCAACTAGACGCCTATAAGGCTCAGGATCCGTCATTAACTCACCAGTTGCAAGGGTGAGTTTATGATTCTGCTCGATTGGAAACCCACTAGGCTTTGCGCCTAGTAAACCTGCTTCAGAAATAATATCTAGAGTATATTTTCTTTAACACAAGAATAACCCTAAAGAACTACGAGCAACCTCTATCCCTAAGAAATATTTTAGAGGCCCTAGATCTTTCATCTTAAAACAGTCACTAAGATAGGCCTTGAATATCTTTAATGCAGCGGAATTATTCCCAGAAATAATAAGATCATCCACATAAACCAAGACATTAATTTGAGATTTTCCATTAGTATATGTGAACAAAGAATAATCAGAGTAAGATTGCAAGAAACCATACTTTTTCAAGGCCGATACTAACTTTGCAAACCAACACCGTGGAGCTTGTTTTAGGCCATAAAGGGACTTGCGCAATCGACACACCAAAGTAGGATCCGAACACTCGAACCCGGGAGGTAATTTCATGTAGACTTCTTCATTTAAATCTCCATGAAGAAAGGCATTGTGAACATCCATTTGATGCAACTCCCAATTTTTGCAAGCCGCTATGGCAAGAAAAGCCCGAATGGTGGTCATTTTTGCGACAGGGGCAAACGTTTCTTCATAGTCAATCCCCGCCTTTTGATGATTACCGAAGACCCCGAGTCTTGATTTTAGGCGCTCGACATCACCATTGGATAGATATTTGGTCTAGTCCCATTGGCTACCTAGAGCACGTTTCCCAGGTGGAAGATGCTCTAGAGTCCAAGTACCATTGTCCTCTAAAGCACGAATTTCTTCTTTCATAGATTAGCGCCAACTATCAAACCTCATTGCTTCTTTAAAAGATTTAGGGTCTTTACCCTTAACAATGGCTGCAAGGAATTTTTGATAATTCACAGAAAAATTGTCACAATTAATGTAATGTGCTAAAGGATAAGGAGTACCTGAGGAGTGATTGGAAGAGGAAGAGAGAGGACTTTTAGCAAAAACCGTGTGTGTCACGAAATCACGAAGCTTGGCATTGGGAATTTTCTGTCTAAAACCACAACCCATTTGTGGATTAGAAGGCCCGGTATCAAGAGAAGGTGTGTCACTGGGCTGGAAATGCGGAGCTTCCTCATCCGGCAGCAACGTGGGCTGATTAGAAGGCATCAGCGGCCCATCGCGAGTTTGATCCACGCTGGGCATGGGCTCTGCATTAGAAGCTGATCTGGGCTGGGACTGGGAGTGTTCTTCTGGAGACGGATGCGAAAGCCAAGGTGGGGTGAGGTCTGCTAGCACCTCTTCTGTTTGTGGCCTGGAGGAAGATGCAGGCCCAGCACGTGAGGCGCTGCTGTGCAATGGAGCTGGACCAGGTGTTGCATTGGGCTTGCCTTGATCAGAAGAGTGCCCAGGACGTATTTGGGTTGGGCTGTGCATGAGACGTGAAGCTTGATCCACATTTTGTACAGTTTTAGCTTCATCATCAATTACAATTTCGGCAAAATCCTCATGAACATCTTGATCCTCAAACTCGTGGTTTTGAATATTCACAACTTCCGGAGTATCAAACGCAAACACCTCTTCAACAAATTTCACATCACGTGAGACAAAGAACTCTTTTGTGTTCAAATCAAACAATCGCCACCCCATTTTGCCAAATGGATAACCCATAAATACACACTTTCTACTCCGACTAGCAAATTTATCCCCCTTAGTTTTCTGATTGTGGGCAAAGCATAAACAACCAAAAATCCTGAGAGCATCAAATGTAGGAGGTTTATCAAAAAGAATTTCAAAAGGTGTTTTATTGTGTAAGAGTGGGGATGGGGTGCGGTTAATCAAATGAGCAGCGGTGAGTACACACTCCCCCCAAAAATAAATTGGTAATTTAGCTTGAAATCTCAAAGCACGTCCCACATTCAGAATATGTTTATGTTTCCTTTCAACATGACCATTTTGTTGAGGGGTACCGACACATGAAGTTTGGAATATGATTCCGGTAGCTCTAAAATATTCTAGTAAACAATTAAATTCGGTCCCATTATCACTCTGAACAACCTTAATTGTCTGAGAAAATTAACGATCTACCATAGCAACAAACGACATAACATTCAAAAGACCTCCAATTTGTCTACTAACAAATAGATCCAAACTGCTCTTGAAAAATCATCAACGATGGTTAAAAAATAACGAGCTCCACAAGACTAAACATGACGATATGGACCCCACAAATCACAATGAATTTTCTCAAATATTCTAGAAGCTTTATTATCACTTAAAGGGAATTAATCTCTCGGATGTTTAGCATACATACATACCTCACAACCAGAACCTAAATGATGTTTATTACCACAAACATGCGGAATTAACTTTACTACTTTTTCGGAAGGATAACCAAGACGACGATGCCATAACTCCAGATTTGATGTACCTTCTACCCGTGACACAAATTTCGGTTTGCTAAAGTAGTATAGTCCATCTCTCCTAGTCCCTGTTCCAAGCAGCTCCTTCGTTTGGTCCTGTATAACACAACTATTAGAATCAAATTGAACAATAGTCTATAAATCATCATTAAGTTGGGAGACAGAGAATTAATTGCAATTTAAGTTGGGAACATAGAGGACTTCGGTCAGAGTTATGTCGTCGGACAGAGAAACGGAACCCATCAGAGTAGCCACCACTTTTGCACCATTTGGTAACCCGATTGGACAATCAAACTTTTGTGTGTCAAATAACCATGAACTATTCCCGGTTACGTGATGAGTGACGCCGGTGTCGATTATCCAAGAAGAGATATCAAACTTGCCGGTCAATTGGTTTAAAATTAGAACCTTCATAGTCCTCAGTGCATCCACTTAAACTGTCGTTATTACCCCAATCCCTCACCTGGTTTGCCATTATTCTTCTTTTATTGCGATAACCTAAATACAAGCAAAATCTATTACAAGGTTTTTATTGTATAACTTAATGTTGAGGTGTATTTTCACTCAAAACAAATTGAAAATCACTCAAGACTTAACCCAATTTTAATTTTGCATTCTATTTGATATTACTTTTATATTGATTTGGACAAATAATTATAAAGTGAATCCGGCAAATAATTTTAATGTCCCATTAAAATTTCTTCTTCATGAAAAATCTTTTTCGAATCGCTAATGTCGCCCATCATAAGGAAATAACTCATTTTTTAAAATGGGTAACTGCCATAGTAATTTAATTATTCTCTCTCTAACCCATACAATCATATCCGTTTTAATTTCTTACACTATTTTGGGGAAAATAATCTCAATTTTAAGCCATTCGCTTATAATAATTCAAATTTTGTGTTATTATCTATTAATCTAAACTTTTGAGTGTACTAGGGTAGCTAACGCATGCAATGCTCGCGCTATATATAGTCATTTTCGGAGAGCTTTTTAGTTGTTGGCAACAAAATGAGAGCAAATATGTAAACAAATATTTTTAGGGGTATAAACATCCGCACACTATGGTTATGATGATTTTTTTTTTTTTTTTTTTTTTTTGTAAAGCAATTAAGGTTAATGTAGGCAAATAGATAAATAAACATTTTAGAGAATATAATTGTCCATACACACTATTTATAAGAGGTAAATTATTAAATCACACAAATTAAAGAAAAAGCTTAGAGGCAATTAACATCATATTAATAGAGTTAAGTGGTTTGTTTCTTTGGTCACATTAAGTCACTAACTTGTAATAATAGGTTACCTAGACATGTGTTAACACCTAAGTGGTTTTCAACAAAAAAAAAACCTCCATGACCAAGCCGACCACCCCTCCCTTCCCTAGCCACCATCACTAATTTTATATAAGTATATAAAATGTTAAACCAGGCATAAATCTAGTTCATTTTAACGTATGAATGAAAAATGCACAAATCAATAATGATGCGCTAATTGAACTTCAAAGTAGTAATTGACATTACAAGTATGTTAATGCTGAAAAATGAGGCGATGCTAAAACTTTGCATTTGCACTTGCATGCTTAGCTTTGGACTTTGATGGACAGCCAAATAATTTAAATGGAAGACGAAGAGCCTTAGACAGTGAGACTAACCAAAACAAACTCCTGCACATTTTAAGTCCAATTCTAGAAATGGCTGGTAGAGGCCTCTGAAGCAAATCTGTGTTAGAATACAGTTAGTTTGAAATTCTTCGAATTTTCGTAGTTGGAGTTGTTGTTGTCACGGAATCTCAAGGATGGCTCTTCAAGGATGACTCCTTCAATTATCTCAGTAAATTGTTAGCCTTTCCAAGTCTGATGACAGAACAAAAGCATCATCCAGAAACTCCAGGAGACAAAGCTGGTTTGCCTGTTTATATGGGTGAAACTAGGAGTGCTGAACGTTGTCTGCTGATGATAATAGCATTTCCAAAATAAATAAGGCTGCTGGTCATCAGACCAATAAGGACCCTGACAGCTTCGTAGCACCAATAACACCACAGAGAGCCAATAACGAGATGAGATTAGGCATCATAAAAGATGAGTTTTCGAAGTGTATCTTGTGACGATTGCTATCACCTCGAAAACCTCGAACAATCATGGCCTGCAGAATTGGAAAATCAATTACTACCAGGAAGTTGAGGACAACAGCAGAAGCAGTAAATATCTCCCACCTAGGGTCATCAAATTGTCTTCAGATTTACAAATGACCCATACATCTTGGAAAAACACTAGGAGATGAGCTCTCACTTTCTTATAACTCTACCAAATCTGATGAAGATGGAGCCTTCCATACCTTACCATACAAACCGAGACGAGAAGTTTTTTTTCTAAATTTTAAGTGTCATCCAATCTCTTCAGAAGAATGTGAGTGATTTAAAGATAGATGTGTATGTTCCTTTTGTTTTTAAAGGTACATGAATTAATCAGCTAACTGAAACAGTTCACAAAGGGAAAGCCAATACCAGAAAGCAGTGAATGCCTCATTCAAGAAATGGATTTCACTTGTTTAGCTAGATAAATTTAGAAGCAAAATGTAAACAGATTAAACAGCGCAGGTACACAGCAGCAAATAATATCCCAACCTTTTTTTTTACCACCAAATTCCTGAGGGAGTAAGATTTGCCTCAAACAAAGCATTTGTGTTCTTTTCTTTAATACATATCTTTGTTATAAAAGAACCTTCTTCAGATAATTCAACACATTTGAAATCTAAGCAATTTCTGACCACATTTAAATTCTTTTTACTATCACCCCTTCCAGCCCCTGGACCAATCGCACAGCCTTATTGCCTAAACACAAAACCAGGGACTTGAGCACTTCAGCAGATTTGGTTCTAAGTTCTAGCTACCTTGTACAAGTTGCTTTTTCAGTTTTACATGAGTCTATGACTACTTGACTCCACTTGTCAACAACCACAAAGAGAGCATTCTCAGAAATATTCATGAAGGGAAAAAAAACTAAACAGGTTGTCTAAATAAACAATTAAACATTAACACAAGAATAAAAATTATAGAAGCCTGTACACACAATATAGAAACAAAATAAAGACAACAAATTAAACTGTTCATCGGCCTCCCAAAGAGAGAAAACGTGCAATTAGGAAGTGGGCTTGCAAAAGGATCACATACCAAAGATTAGCTATTGTCAACAAATTGCCTAGTTAAGAACTACATACACAACTGTACAAAAAATAATCACCACAACAATCTGACATGCTAAATAAAGTCTTGGGTAAGTCAAAAATCAAAAGTTGTGTACTTGCATTCGGTTTCAAACATACAGGAACACTATGCTCATTGAAAACTTCTGGCAAAGTTTGTGTGAAGAGGGTAGCACAAGTTTTGTGTTAGCTACTCCACACTCTAAATTAGTCCATAGAACAGGTTTTGGCAATTTAAGCCTATAGCTGATATACGATGACACTACTCCTGTTGAATACTTCCAGCTAAGTTTATGTAACACAGGTTTATACATCAAAATAAATTAATTAATAAATAATTCTCACATTCTGTGCAGCATCAAATATCTCACAAAGGAAAAAAAAAAGACAAAACAAAAAGAAAGATCCAAAAGAGGTCTTAGGAAAATGTGTAGAACCTGTGATATTTGCTCTGCATGGCTAAAAATATTCTTAAAGATCCGCCTGATATACATCACGAAGACTGCATGTCAAAAAATAAATAAAATTTCATTAGAAGCTGAGCTGTTAGAACAAAGTGAAAGAATATGGGAAGGGGAACAGCACTTCCTCAGAACACCACATGTATACCATGTACCATCCAACAAAAATAAATAAAAGCAATGAAACAGTTTGGTGATAAGAGAGAAGGTAAACATGGTCCTACAAAGTGTAAACCAGGAAGGCAATGGAAGTAAAGGATGAAATAGTTACAACCAAAATAGTGCCACTACAAAAGAGCTCTACAGAAAATTAATAAATAGATTACACAATTTATATTGTATAAAAGAGGGGAAAAAAAGAATTAATAGATGTCTCGCATGAGGGAGGAAAGGGTATTGGACAGGGAAGAAATTTTAATATGAGAAAGAAAGAAAGAGAAGCCACGACACATGCTTCATGAGATACAGGAAAAGGAAGGAGTTGGCCAACTTCCTTGGCCATAGAATGTGCTAAAATAAAGAGAGAAGTTGGGAGGAAAGAAAGATATTAAAAAAAGAGACGAATCAGAAAGAGGCCAATGACACCAATTTCATGGGATTTATAGAAGATAAGGGAGGATTATATCAATTTCCATACTGCACATTGTGGCAGCATTTTCCCAGTTAACAGAAAATGTAAGAATGGCTTGATACAGTTGCTTGGCTGAAAACTGACAGCTATACTTTGCATATACATTTGATTTGTGTTATAAAAGGTTTGCAAATAATCAAGCAAAGAATATTCAAGATCCTATATTATGCTGAAGTCCTGCACTTACCATCAACTTTCTCCAGGAGTGTCAAATCCTGCCAATCAATTCTACGAGAGAGAATTCCAAGAGCAACATTCCGGACCTACCAGACACAAGTTACATGAGAAGAATATGCGGACTTAACATTATGATTGCTGGTTAGAAGCAGCTAATAATAAAATGCCTTCAGAGGAAGTGAGAGTAGTAAGCAAACCGGAACACAACCCTGTATTCAACTGTCCCATAAGGAAAAAGAAGCAGAGAAAAATAAATAAGAATTACCTCATCAAAAATAAGATTTATGAACCTTAACGAAAGCATCAAAGTAAGAACAATTTCATCCACTGGAACACCAATATGAGCTAAAGGGAGAAGGAACCACCGTAACGCTGATGCAAGTTGCTCCGGGGGAGTTGTCGACAAACAGAGGCTAGCACTTTGTAATATCTGACAAGATAGTAGACACTCACTTCTGCGAACAGTGTATCTTGCAATAACTTAAATTTGAGCATACATGAGCACTGAGGTTGAAGATAGATTATTCTATCTATAAAGGAAATAGTAATGCAAACAGAAAAGAGGTAATAAGGAGATATTTGGCTACAAACTTTACAAAATAGAAGATATTTGGCTACAAACAGAAAAGAGGTACTAATTCATGAACACATGCACTGAGGATTAGACCTGGCAATCCTGACCCAGACCCGATGACCCGACCCGAATGACCCGACCCATGACCCAAAAACATCGACCCAAAAACATCGACCCAAAAATGACCCGAACCCGAAATTGACCCGACCCGAAAATGGAGTTGACCCAATCCTGACCCGACACCCAAACTGACCCGACCCGAGTTGACCCGACCCGAAATTGACCCGAAGTGTTTGACCTGAACAAACCCGTTTCCCGAAATTGACCCGAACAGACCCGATAACTGATATGTCCCAAACTAAAGTTACTTTATAATTGAACTAAAAATGTCTAGTACCAAAAATAACTCAAATTGTTCATCTTCAACCGTAGCTAAGCTCATAAAACCGATTTGATAGTTCTTATTATAACAATAACAAAATATAAAATTATTGATTTGAACATGATCCACAAATGTAACAACCCGAACATGACCTAACTTGATTTTGACCCAACCCGTGTATGACCTGAACATACTTGACCCGAAATGATCCCACCCGAACTCGACCCAAAACCTGACCTGAATCATACTCGAAACCCGAAATGACCCAAACCAACCCATACCCGACCCGAATGTTGACTGATCCAAAATTGACCCGACCCATACCCGACCCGAACGACCCATTTTCCAGGTCTACGTGAGGATGGATATACAATTCAGCAAAGAAACTATAGGACCTTCGAAATCATAATATAGAACAATTAACTTCAAAAGCACAAAATAAAAAAAATAAAAAAAAAACTTACAGTGAACGTAAGGCATGCAGATGTACTTGCAACCGAGAGTCCTTTCCTTGTCATCTGTAAAGGTCCAAACTTAAAAAGCACATATGTATAGTTTTTAAATGATGAAGGGATACTTGGAAGTCCAGTTAAAGATGGCATTGGAGTCCTCTGAGTGACACTGGGAAGAACACTATCAGCAGTCAGTCCCAGCACTATAAATAAAATTATGGACAGCAATGTCACTCTGCCCAATTGATCCTGCCAAAGGGACAAAAAAAACTCAAGCAAACGAATTTCAAAAGAAGCTTACATACTTTAACCAGAATTTCTTTGCAGTAAAAATTAAGTTACTCATTCCTGGAGGTCCACAAATAATGAGTTGCAAATATAAAGAAAGATTACACCCAATTTGTATTATTTGATAGCAAAAAGTGTTTGATGTGAGTGATATGCGCAGTAGGTGTTGACCTGAAGAGCCTTTATTTTATTGGGGTCTTCAGAGTTTAAGATATGTGCAAACTCACTTCAAACCAGTTTTAAGACAAATATGAGGGCTGACTCTAAAAATCCATAATAATAACATTTTCTTTATTATTGCTTAAATAAATCTTATAGATAACCAACACATATACCAATATATGAGGTTGTTTCAAAATCCCAAGCTAAACTTAAGTTTTCTCACTAAGAAAAATTACAATGATGACTGATGAATCCTTTTGGCTTTATACATGGTTTTATATATTGGCTGGGATAGGGTCAATCAGGGGTTCCATGTTGACAAATGATGCGTTCATTTCCATACTATACATTTTCCCTGATTGACACCACATTCAGAATGAGATAACTCAAATCCTTCTCAATAACAAAATAAAAAAGAACTCCTTCATCCCAACTCCATGCATCTAGGACACCACATTCACTACAAAATTCACAATATCACATTGATACCCCCTCTCAAAAAAAATCTACTTCACTGCAGCGAATTAATAAATAAATAAATTAAGCTACGTAGTAACGAAATACAGATGTAAATCGTCAAAAAGTAAACAACTAAGGTTGATAGATAATAATTTTTTGGAGATATATGCAAGCTCTGTCAAAACCATTCCTCAAAGAACCTACTTATTATAGATTTATAGGTAGCTCCACAAAATAAAGAATAAACGAACATACCTTCCACACATCTGTTGGGAGTATCCAAGTGGACAGAAGAGCAAGAGAAAGAACAATCCCAAAGCGCATGTAAATATGGGAGCGAGCTGGCAAGAAAACTAACACTATAAGCCACACCTGCAAAGTAAATGTACGTCTTAACTGACAGGGATAAAGTTCCCAGATGAGAAAAACATAAGAGAAGCAAATAGTCAGGTTTGTTTAGATCAATATAATGAAGTCCTTGTCACCTCAATGTGTTTACAAACTTTGCATATCTATTTATGAAGTCACAAACTAGAAATCCACATCATAAGTCAATAGACTATAAGGAGACTATAAAATTTATAACTGTAACGCTAGCAGAATGTCAAAATTCTTTCAAGCAACATACTCCATAACATTCCTGTAAAAAAAAAGAAAAAAAAAAAAAAAAAACCTATACTCCATAACATTGCTAGGACAATGATATACATGCGTTAATAACAGATGTTGCATCCAATTACCCAAGCATACATAATTATTGTTTCAGTCCATATAAATTAGTCATAATGCCCCAAAAAAAAACACAAGGATCAAAGAAAGGTGAACTATTATTGTGATCATTGCCATTTACCAGGGCACAATATACAGAGATGCTACAAAGTCAATGATTAACCTCAGAATAATTATGCTAATAAGGTGAACTATTATTGTGATTATTGAGTAGTGATGGATTAAATCAATGTGTCCTTAGCTTTGTTCATGTTTTTGATCATTTGTTGCTGATTAGTTCATTTGATTTCTGCTGCAAAGCTTTGATATATAAGAGAAAGAAAAAATGCCTACAAATTTAGGCTAATGCAAATAATACATTTTCATATTAATGCACCCTGAGCGCTGGAAGAGATTAGTCAAACAAATGCATCAATGCAATATGGATGAAACCTATAGCCTGAAATAAGTCAATTGAAACTCTTACATTCTTATTCCTTGAACTCGAGAAATAAGTCCCAGCTCATCCCGTGTCCCTCTTACTATATGTCTGACTAAAAAATTTCTCATGGCACATCTAAATTTGTTGCTTTTCATCCATGAAAATTTCTGATCTCCTTTGGCCTATTACATAATACAAGTAATCGGGCACCCATGATAATACACAGTATCCCTTTTTAGTCAAAGAGTTAAGTACTGCAGATACTTAGAAGGGGGAAACAAATTGTCAATTGAGACCATCAGGAATCGTCGGTCATCACTCATGTTAGCTAAAACAAGTACATTAAATAACATGAAGAAGTTCACAAGCAAGGGCGAAACATAAGGGGAGCCTGGCACCCAAAAATGTTAAAAATCTTTTTGGAAATAGATTAAACTTTTTACTTGGTCCTCTCAAAAAGCCAAATGAAAATTTTGGCCCCTCGAAAATAATTTTCTAGTTTTGTTCACAATTGTCCATTGGGATTCTCCCATTATTGCAACATTATGTTAGAGCATACGCTTTCACAAGCACCAAATAGATTGTCTCTTTTCAATGCTTAGATATAATGAAAGCGCTGCCAAATGAATTTACTCTTACCTACAATAAGCAAGCTATAAAGTTAGTTATCACAAAGGACCATTGCATACAACAACAAAATCATTACCCCATTGCTTATAAAGAAAATACTACTCTTACTACGGTCAGAGCGGTCTCGGATGTATGCAGCCTTATCCCTCCGCATTGTGATAGCAAAAGAGCAATCACAAAATCACATACAGTAGCCATGAATATCAAAATCACAGCTTCAATTAAAACTTAAAATTCTCTCCAACTCACAATCATCTTCTAATATAGGCATACATAACAGAACCCAACTTCATGTAATCAAAAGGGAGTAATTTATACAGTTCACATGAAAGCAATTGTTTCATACAGTTAAAAAATACCCTAAAAAACAAAATCAATAACTCAAAATCAAATCAAATAAAAAGAGGGAAATTACCAATTTAATTCTAGAGTCAACACAATGCAAGAAAGTTGTAGGAGAAGTAATGAACTGACAAATTGGACTTGAGGTTGCACCAGCAATTGATTGAAGAACTTTATCAGGCCCAAAATCAATTCTTTTAGGCACCCATTTTTTCCAATCAAAAGCTTCTCCGTCATTGTTAACTGCTGTTGAACACTGAATTTTGTGGGGCCTCAATTTCCATGGTTTAAAGGTTGAAGGTAGGAAAACAGTTGGTTTAAAGTGGGTGTGAAGATTTTGGGGAGAAAGTAGGATTAGGGGGTGAGATATGATCATGACTTTATTGATTTTGAAAATGGAATTGGATTGAAATTCAGGGGTTAGTGGGTGCGCAAATGCACACCATTAACACCCTTTTGGTCTGACTATGCATTCAACTTCAGCAGAAGAACAGATGGAGTGTAGAATTATGCTCAACTGCTTAAGGACTGAAAATTATGGGTGAGCAAAAATTCCAGGGTACCCGCAATTGGAACCGGCAGGTTTAGAATAGGAATTAGACCCACTGGTTCCAATTTTGGGTAATAAATTAAGGAACCCGGTTGCAACCGGTTTCAATTATAATTCTTATTTTTTAGGAATCGGAACCGGTTGGGTATTCGGTTACCCAATATATATTTAAATAAATATATTTTTAAAAAAAATATATGTTGAATGTATCTAGCTAATAAAATAATATTAATGTCTAACATAAATAAAACAACTTAATGCATATAAAAATATAAGTATTAAACGCTAAAATTGAAAATAAACCAAAAAATAATTTGATTTGTATTATATTTTAACAAATATGTGTATAAGTGGGTACCCGGAGCCGGCACCAGTACCCGGTGGAACCGATTCCAATTCCTAAATTTTAGGACCCGATTGAACCGGTTTCAAATTTTAGGACTCGGTCCCAACTAATACCGGGTCCAGATTTTAAAATTTGACCGAGTACCCGATTTGCTTACCCTTACTTAAAAGAAGTTAGCGCGGATAGGCCTATTGATTTAAGTATGGGTGAGCAAAAATTTTGCACTAAGAAAATTGGAATAGGAACCGGCGGTTTTGAAATTAGGAATTTTGATAGCATCTAGTGGTTTTAAAGCCGGATAATAAATTTATTAACTTACACTAAAATAAAACGTTGCTGACATCATGCCTTTATCAAATTGTACACATGTCACTTTGACATAAAAATTTTTCCCGTTAATTTGCTATGATGATGTCATTAGTTTTTATTTTATTTTATTTTATTTTTATACTTTTACCTTTGTTTTATTATCTATTAAACCTTTCATGTACTTTGTCCCTACCGAATCCTTTTTTTTTATTTTACAAGTGTGTTAATATTTCAATGTTTAAAAGTGTTCATTGTAATTTTTTTTGTATATTTTACAATTAATATGCTACAGTAGAAATTACATAAAATAAAATATTAACGGAGTAGAAAACTTTATTTCTCTGTATTACAAACAAATCTCACAATGTGTTTATTTAAAACGTGCATCGCACGGATACTAAACTAGTTAAATAATCTAAACTAAGAGAATTGAATGTGATAGTCCGGGTTCCTAGTTTTTTTTGAGTCATAACCAATTAAGTATTAGGAGTGATGTAAGAAAAAGAAAGAAGAAAGCATAAAAAAAAAAAAGGCTAAAATCATAAATAAATAGATAAAGTAATAAACAAACAAATACAATTATAAAAATCAAAAAATAAATTGTAAGAAATAATTACAGAGTTTGTGTATTTTGGTAAACCAATTACAGGTATTCGATGGTTCTCAGTCCAATTTCCAAATTTTGGATCCAATTTGACCAATTTCGATTTCGGTTTTCAAATTTTAGGAATAGGTCCCAAGTGGTCATATTTTGAAGGTGTTCGATTGTGCTCACCCCTAAATTTCAGTATTATAGCTTGTCCATTTAAGTTATGTTTAAGTTGAATTGAAATGATATAAACTAAACTGAATTAAAGTGAAGTTCAAATAATAATTATGTTCAAGTGAAGATAACGGGCTATAAATATGTTTTGTAACCAATATCTTAATACTCTCCCAAAAAAAAGTTATAACGGACTATAAATATGTTTTGTAACCAATATTTTAATACTCTCTTAAAAAAAACTTTGAAATTGTTTTCTCTTTTAACGTTCTAATAATTACTCTTTATTTTAAAGTTTTACAAATATTTTTATCGTTTTCATTAAAGAAAAATGGAAATTCTTGAATAAGACGGATTAGTATTAACTTATTGTTAGATAGGTTCAAATTACCCTAAAATTAAAGTATTCAGAGTTAAGTTAGGTTATAGTCTTGAGACAACATTTTCCTGACTTTGTGTATTTTGAGTTCCTATATCAAAAATAGAAAATAAATCTAAAACGAACAAATTAAAAGTTACAAACTATATGATCTCAATATAGTGTGATCGAATTGGTCCTTTATGATCAAGAAAAAGAATAGAAAATATTGGATCAAAATTAAAATGCAAAGAGATAAGATGTGATCATAATTCGGCCACACCCGAAGCTTGTTGCAGCCCTACTACGTGCTTTGGTCAGTAGTTCAGTGATCTTCAAGTTGTGTAGTAGAGTAGACTATACAGATGTTCCCAATATTTTAAAGGAGATGTAAACCAAAATTAAAAATGGCCTTGTTTGGCAATTGATTGTTGGCAGTTGGATGTTGGGTGGTTCATTTGGCTTGTTTGACCAGTTGGATGTTTGGCTGTTTATAATGACTTTTGAAATTGGTTGTTTAAGCTGGCTGTTTATAAAAGTGTTTGGTAAATTTAAATGTTGTTTGTTGGTTGTTTATTGGATAATTAGTGGGCCAACAAGCCAAAACCAACAAAAAAAGCTAATCATAGCAGCTTTTTCATTTTGGCTTAAAAGCCAGCTTTTTCGCTAACTGAAAAGCCAATTACCAAACACTTTTTTTGGTTGTTTGACCACATAAAAAAGCCAAAAGCCAAAAGCTAACCAAAAATCCATTTACCAAACATGGCCATAATCAATTCAATCCTAAATCAGCTTATCTAGAATTTGATTTCAATTTAAACCAGAAATCAAAAATTAATACTGCACAAGGGTTGGTTGCGACACATGATGTGAACCGATTCATGATTCCTTAAATCGGGAGGAAAAACTCTAACGCGGAGCTATTGCTTAGGCTAATTTCATTCCCTTGTTGTTAGTTGTTTTTTTTATATTCCTAAATTGTCTTGTTAACTTAATTATGTCAAAAAAAAAAAATTGTCATGTTTAGCTCTTACTTTTTTGAGAATGTATTGGATGTGGACTGCCGCACTTAAATTATGCGTGCAGTAGGCTGGCTGATATATTTATTTGTTGACTGTTATGTTTCATGTGTTGGCTGATATGTTTTATTTGTTAGCTGATATAGTTTTTGTGTTGGCTAATATATTCCTTTTGTTGGTTGATGTTTTTTATTTTTTTTTTATTTTTTTTAATTTTTCGTATGTTCCTTTTATTGGCTGCTATCAGATATCAGTTGGCTGATATATTTCTTTGGTTGGTTGATATCTTTATTTTATTGGCTGATATGTACTTCCTCCGTTTTATTAATATTGCAACAAGGATGAAATTAAGCATCCCAGCGCACATTATATATGGTAAATATCTATAATTGTGTAAGAGTAAAAATTATAAAAAGTTGATATTGTGAAAGTATTTTATGAGACGAATCCAATAAGATCCCACATAACTATATTTTACTTAACGTATAAATCATATTATATGCTCAAATAAGAGTGATGAATAGTCCAAAAAGTCCGTTGTTGCAATATTAATAGAACGGAGGAAGTATATTTTAATTGTTGTCTTATGTGTTTCATTGTATTGGCTGGTGTGTTTATTTTGTTGCCTTACCTGTTGCTTTTGTTTGCTGGTTTCATCTTTTAGTTGGCTGATATGCTTTATTTGTTAGCTAATATGTTCCTTTAATTGGCTGATATGCATCTTTTGTTGGCTGATATGTTCCATTTGTTGGCTGATATGTTCCATTTGTTGGCTGATATGTTCCTTGTGTTGACTGATACTTCCTCTGTTCCACAAATATTGCAACAAGGATGAAATAACGTATCCCAAAGCACATTTTTTATGTTAAATATCTATTATTATATGTGAGTAAAAATTATAAAAAGTTGATATTGTGAAAATATTTTACTAGACGAATCTAAAAAGATTTCACATGACTATATTTAACTTTACGTATAAATCATAATATGTGGTCAAACAAGTGTGATGAATAGTGCAAAAGTCCAGTTGCTGCAATATTACTAGAACGGAGGAAATACGTTTTTATTAATATCTGATATGTCCATAATGTTGACTGATATATATCAGACATCAATTGGCTGATACGTTCATTTTAATGGCTAATATGCGTTATTTGTGACCACCCAAATACGAAATAAACTCTTTTAAGTTTTTCAAGCCTCAACTGATCGAACCTACTCTTCTCCTTCGTTCCTTACTCCCCCCTCATTTCCTCCTCAACAAATCAGTCATTAAATCTGACCCTTAAATGCATCTTCAATTGAATTCCATAAACCCCTTCAATACTCTGTTTATCGTAAATAGCATTGAAATTGACAGTTTGGCTTCAATGGTGTAGTAGAAACACCGATTCGACGATCTGGGTTTCGAACACTGAAATTGACAGTCCGGCCACCCCTCGCCACGCCGTTTTTGCCATCGTCGTGCAAGCCTATGCCAGGTCGCCGCCCACAAATCCTCAGCCACCATTCTCACGCACCACAAATCGCACCGCAAATCGAACCCCTTGTCTTTCCTCGCTCAAGCCGATGCCACCTAGCCACCACCACCTCTACCTTAAGCCGAAGCCGCACCACCACCACCTCTACTTAAGCCGCCGCTGCCGCGCCACCTCTGATTGTAAGTTTTTTTTTACTTTGTTTTGATTTAGGGTTATTTCCAACGCCGCTGCCGCACGAACTATTGGACGCTGCAGTTTGTGTACTTTTTTAATACTAAAATGTATACATACATAATCTACTAAGGAAATCTAGATCTAACTACAAATTAAAACATCATGGATATATGGGGTGTATGTTACAACACTGTAGAATATCTTTCGTATATATCATTTATACGAGGTTATAAAAAAATCACTAAAATATACAACATTTTTTAATAGACAGGTTGACAATATTTAATTTCGTAGTCACATAAGGATGAATTCCTTCTCATTCATCTGATTATATTATAAAATTTTCATATGTTGCGGTCAAACGGTCCCTATAATACTTTATAAGCGAATTGGATTTATATATACTATGATCCACTAAGGGAGCATGAACTACAATATAGACAAATGAAGACTTTGACAAAGGAAGGGTTGCCACCATAGGATGAAAGAATGATGAATTTCACTCACAAATTAAAGTGCAAATTTAAGATTTATAAGACAAAACTGAATTTGAAGGTTGAAATTAGATAACTTTTCTCTATTACGTACTCCCTCCGTTCTTTTATTAAAGATCTGTATTCCTTTTTTGGTAAATCAAAATTAAAGACCTATTTCTATTTTAAAGTTGTACTATTTGAGAATATTTTCCACTTTCACTTTTTGATGAGTTGTCATCACTTTTTTGTACTAATAATGACTTTTTGTATCAATTTTCAACGCTTTATCTCTCCCTCTCTTTAATTATTTCCAACCATTTTTTTTCTTTCCTTCTCTATCTCTCTCTAACTCCACACGCATTTATGTACTTCTACCAACTTTTTTAATTTTCGTGAAAAAACCCAAATAAGTCTTTAATAAAGAGACAGAAAAAGTAGTATATAATTGAAGGAAGAGGAAAGGATGTCCACCTAAAATTCTCAATATGTTTCTATTATTTTGCATAAAAATGTAACAACAACTACAGAGATCAGAAAGGAACAAAATTTTACAACAATTCTTTTTTTTGAAAATTTTACAGTAGTTGAGCACAATATCTATACAAAATTAACCTTGTCTAATGTGTTTATCTGAAAAACAAAACAATAAATCGAACGAACCAGATGAGGAAAAACAATAAATCGAAAGTAGATTTTTGCAAATCATGGATCAAACCATATTTGCTTTCACCACTAAGTTTTTAGTTGTCCTAACGATAATCTAAACAAGCTTAAACAATTAAAATTAATTAATTATACCTCAAAAAAATTAGCATTAATTAACTACATAATTAGTATGTTATATTTGTAATCGATCATGTGAATGCCTGAATGTTAGATTTCGAAGAAACCCGCCGAAATTCGTTAACCACCAAGGTCTAATAACTCAATGACAGTTAGCGGCAGGTAATGCATCGAATCGAACAATACCACGTGGATTTCCTTTGTCAGATTCCCAAGATAGGACAAAATGAAAGTATAGGATCTCATATTATTTTATTATAATATTAATTACCTTTCATATTTTATAATACATTAAGGACGTGTTTGGTTGCCTAACAAATATATGGGAATTATTTTCCTAGGAAATAAATATATGTATATTTGTTTGGTTGGATAGTGGGAGTTTCTTGAAACTTCTACTTCCCACAAAATGGGGAAATTAACTTACCTAGCCCCCCTAGGTAAATGAAACTTTCCATAGGAAGTAGAAATTCCTACATCCAACCAAAAAATATTGGGCAATTCCTAGGAATTACATTTTCATGGACATTGAGTTTTCATGGGAATTTCCACGTCCTACATCCAACCAAACAAACCCTAACATTATATTAAAACTAATTATATATAAATTCCATACAAAATACTACGTAGGAAAGAAGAAAAAAATAATTAGATTAAAGAGCTTCAATTAAACGATAACAGGAATCATAATTAGATGGGGAAAGAGGCAAAGCTAAAATATCAAAAAATAATTTAAATATTAATATAAAATAATTAAAAGAAATAAATATCAAAAACTTAAAAATAAAAAATTTAAAAGAAATAAAAGTAGGGTGGGGGAGACATAGTGGGGCCCTTTATCTTTTTGTAATTTCTTTTTGTTTTATTGGTGCTTATATAATTGGCTTGTTAAGTACCCTTTTTTATACCAAACCCTACCTTAACATTTTTGGTCTCCTCAAACTTGTTCTTTTTTCTCTTTTGAGTCTTCATCTTCTCTTAGTTTACCTCAAGAGAAAAGCAAGCTCAAGAGAAAAAGACGACAAAGAAGAAGAACAACAACAACTCAGTTGATCATATATGGCGCCTGTTGCATTGCCACCTGGTTTTCGGTTTCATCCAACCGATGAAGAATTGGTGGCTTACTATCTTAAGAGGAAGATCAATGGTCGTAAGATTGATCTAGAGGTCATTGCTGAAGTTGATCTCTATAAATGTGAACCTTGGGACTTGCCAAGTACGTCTTTCGTTCTTGCATAACTTAGCTAGATTTTTTTTTTTTTAACTTGTGCATTTTTTAAGTTCGAAATTTTCATTAACTGATATTTTTAAATTATTAAAGGAATTGAAATCATTAGTTTTGATTTCATTTTTCAAGTTTTAGTTTGCATGCGATGGTTAAGTTGTATAAAACTCAATTTTTTTTTTTTTATTTCATTTGATAATAGTAGTTTTCTTATTTTAACAACAAATGGATAATCATATATATTTTTTTCTTTATTCTTTTATTTAAATCATTTAGAGATAATCATAGTTATGTAACTAATATCAATAAGAAGGTATATATGTGGTAGATATATATAGGATGCATGATATATATATATATATATATATATATATATATATATATATATATATATATATATATATATATATATATATATATATACTTCAATTCGTATAATTTTGTATATAAATAATTTCAAGTTATAATATGTTTCTGTTTTTCAGTATTTAGGATCCTATTAAATAAAAAAACTTGGAAACTAAGTCTTGCATGGAAAAATGCGATTTAAGATAAAGAAAAACTAGTACTTCGCATAATCTATGTCTTTTTTGAAAGGGAGTCCAATTTATGTCTAAACAAACATTCTCTTTAATTGTTTTAATACATAAATTAAATTCTAGAATTACATTTACATAAAAATGGATAATAGAAGTAACATATAACAGAAGAAACTTGAAACTTGTTGGAGGATTAATCGTTTACTAGTCAAAAAGAAATCCTTTGCTTTATAAGGTTTCCTTTCTTTTTAGGGCTTTGCAATAATTGTTCTTTTAATTTCCAGGTTCTACTTGCATTATATGCTTTTCTTTTAAAGCACTTCCCTTCAGCTTAATTAATTGATTTTTTTTTTCCATTTCTTTTTGCACAATCAACGTCGAAATATATCGTGAAATTAATCGAATCACGATAATAGTATTAATGTCTTTTCCAATTTCCAAGAGATTCATTTTCATTAGCTTGTTTAACGCGTATCAAAGTTTATAATAAGAAAAACCTTATACTTATATTTCAAGTATTATTAGTTATTATTTCATGACAATATTAGAGAAAATTAAGGTTTAATTTTTATTGATTTTTCATATTGAAGGTAAATCACTACTGCCAAGCAAGGATTTGGAGTGGTATTTCTTTAGCCCTAGGGATCGCAAGTACCCTAATGGCTCAAGGACTAACCGTGCAACAAAGGCGGGTTATTGGAAGGCTACTGGAAAGGATCGAAAGGTGAACTCACAATTGCGAGCTGTGGGGATGAAGAAAACATTGGTTTACTATCGAGGGAGAGCACCTCATGGACATCGAACTGGTTGGGTTATGCACGAGTATCGCCTTGATGAGAGGGAGTGTGAAGTTGTTTCTGGCCTACAGGTATGTACATATATTCTCAAGATGAACATGATCAATAGTAAAATTTTAAAGCATTATTTCATATAATTAAGACCGAGAGTATAGTAGTAATGTCCTTAGATCATAAGGTCTTGCCGTCTTGGTACTTATTTTCTATAACATTAATTTGTCATTTTTATGACGAATTATGGAAAATTTATAATCAAATAGCTAGACAAATAATTAAATTAGAAATGAAGAACATGATAATTTAATCTTGTAAAAATTTCATTTATCAATGATGCTTGCTATTCTAAGATTTATCATACTTTTAATTATTATAACCACCCTAAATGATTTAAATTTTTTAATCATACTTATCTTATATAATAACTTACATATTTTTATTTTCCTATAATTTTTAATCATATTTTATGCTTGTTTTGTTACATATGCTAGGATGCTTATGCGCTATGTCGAATATTCAAGAAAACAACACCACCAACACCACCCAAGATTGCACCACAATATGGTTACACCACAAATATGGCTCAAATGTCAAGTGATCAACAATCTTCAAGCATAGATATATACTCCGAGGGAAGATGTGATGACTTCGAAAGCTCTGCCTACTCGGTTCCTATTGAAAGATCATGTACAACTAATATCTTTGCTCAAGGCCATGCATCATCCTCTTCGTCTCACCGCAATATGGGTGATGGACAATGGTTACAGTATCTCAATGATCAAGATGATTTTAGCTTCCCTACCCCAGCATTTCATAATAGCGGCTCCCTTCCATATCCCCCCTCTAAGGTAAATAAGACTTTATTCTCTTTACTTTATTTTTGCTGAATTAATTTATATTTGTATTTGTCCGAAAAAAACCTTATTTTTACTACAAGAAATTTATTGTTGTTGATTTTTTTTTTTTTTTTAAATAAGTCTAGCTAGGAGAACAAAGCCTAAGTTTTACAATAAAATCCTTTTCCCTTTTTTGTTTTATCACTTAGCAAAATATAATATGCATGTCGTTAGAAAACATGAAAATTTTATAGTGGTCAGTTGAAATATAACCACCATAATATTTAAAATGATTATGCAGTTTATGATTGACTTATTTTTCTTATCATGACTTGTTGCGTGCTAGCATTAAACATTGTTCTTTGTTGCTTTTTTCAATTTTGAAGGTTGACATTGCAATCGAATGCGCGAGATTGCAACATCGTTTCACCTTGCCTCCTCTAGAAGTAGAGGGATCTTCAAATTATGGGACAACAAACCTCTCTAATATGGGAATGTGTTATAACAATGGCGGTACAAGTACCGGAGGTGATATCCTAGACGAAATACTATCAGTAGCTCAAGCTCAACAAGATCTTATAAGTCACCCCAACACCATGATAGGAGGACAAAGCTACAACAATCACAACTATGGTGATACAATGAATAATCAGGCAAATTCGATGAGGCCGATAATGGAGAATTCATGGGAGGATAATATGAATACGAGCTTGGTTGGAATGGGGAATGTAGATGAGTTGAAATCAGAAAGGATGGTGGATTTTTCTGATTTAGTTGTTTTTGATGAAAGAAATTCAGAAAAGGTAATTATTATAGAGATTTTTTTACGCTAAATTTATTACAAATATTTATTTTTAAAATATTTTTTCTAAATTTCTCTTGTAATTTGATGTCATGCAGGAGACTAGGGAAGAATATGGCATGGTCCCTATAGAAAACAATTCAACATTGTTCCATGGGGAACATGATATTGAAGGTATTATATCCCTTCGATTCTTCGATACGTTATTACTTTGACAAATTTTAATTTCTTACAATGTCGTACCATACATACATGCAGATGAACTTAACAAGAACTTCATAAACGACAATGATATTGACAACTTCTCAAGCACTCCGAGTTTTGAAGTGTTTGAAGAGGTTGAGGTGAACCAAAGCCTATATATTTCATCTCAATGGTTAGCTGAAACGCGGTTCCACCATGTACAACCAACTAAAACTGTCCAAGTGTACTTGCAACGTGCCATAGGATTGCGTAACACGAAAAAAGAGGATTCGTTTGAAGAAGTCGACAACAAGAATAAATCTTCATTTTTCGACAAATTGGCAGGATTTGCAAGGAACAGTATTGGGAAATCTACACCCAAAATGTTCGCCAAAAATAGGGCTTGTTGCTACGCTAACAAGGTAGAGAGGTTCGCGTCAAGTTGGTTAGCGAATAGGGTTTGGCCTTCAATAACTGTTGTTTTGGCTCTTTGTATGTACCATATGGGCTAACCATGTTATGTTATACCCTCGATCAACAACCTAGACCTCAACTAACTTAATATATTAAGTTTTCGACGTATACATTTTTGATTATTTATTAATGATTCAAGTAAGGTAATAGTCTACCTTTGCTAGGATCTAATTGTAATTTTTCTAAGAGCATTGAAATCAAATGCAGGATAATCAAACTATTTTATTCTTATACAAGTAACATTAAATTAATTATAATCACAATGTCATTGTGTCACTCAAATGTATCATGTATTTATTAACTATTATGCGAACTATATTCATCATTTTGTGTTTTCTATATGGTTTACATTGTTTCATAATTACACATTGTCACCCAAGTAAAATTGTATTTATTTTTCTTTGATCTTTAACACAATGCAGTCACTGGTTGTGTTCCGTAATCTGTATAATCGTATAAACATCAATAATTTTGTTTGCCTGTGTCAATGATTGTGTTCTCGATGATAATATAGTTCATCTTATCCATGTTACAGCCAAGACATTTTGTTAAAATTGAATAGACTTGTGATTTCATTTTGATGGGAACTGTCCATAGAAATTGAGTAACAATTTCAACAAATTTCATAAGTTACCTGGCTTAATTGCGGTCTCTTGCACAATCTGGAAGGAAAAAATGGAGGTTAGTTGTTGCCTTCACTCAATTGAGAGTAATTCGAAAAGGGGAAGAATAGAGGTGAAAGAAAGTCTAATTGGAAGGAAAAAGAGGGGAAAAATAAAAAGGGTGGTATTGAGAGAACATGGGAGAGGCACGTGGCGTAGTCAATACCGGAATACAAGGTCAAACTTCCTTATCCAGCATAAGGAGTATATTAAGGTGTGTTTTTACAAAATAAAATAAATAAATAAAAAAAATAAATAAGAAAAAAAAAACATATTTATAAGGTGGGTTTTGACAAAAATGTGTTTTATAAGGAGGTTTTTGGCAAAATTTCCTTATTATTATTACTTTGATAGAAATATAGAGCCAAATTCTTTGATTTACCTTCTAAAGTAAGGCTTGTACTTAGACTCCATTTGTTTTGACTGAAAATGTTTTTCAAGAAAATGATTTTTCCAATTTCTATTGTTTGTTAGTAAATGATAGAAATCAGTAAAGATGAAAAATAGTTTTCCCAAAAGTGAAAAATGTTTTCCTTTTGAAATGAAGGTATGTCACATTTTCCTTTCTACTCTTTACATCTTATACCTCTCCTCTCCATCTTCTCCATTTCTCTACAATTTTTCTTGTAAGGACGCAAACAAAGGAAAACCATTTTCACAATTGTATTTTTTCTTGGAGAACATTTTTCTAAAAAAACTGTTTTCCATTAAAATAAACAGAGTCTTATTAAGATTAGAGGTGTCAATTCGGGTGTCCGGATCGGATTCGGTGAGGTCTGGCCGGGTCAGATCTGGTCAATTTTTAAAGTTGATCATACTAAATTATTGTGTCCACCATGTCCACGCGAGTCGAAATATGAATTGGATATTTTTCGAGTCAGTTTTGGATCAGATCTGGTCTAGTTTGGTTTTGATACCTCTAAATAAGATTGTACTCCTTCGTAGTAGTGTATCGGATCATTCAAACTACAATCCAAAAACGAAATTGGAAGAATCAAATGGCCGGGGATGGTGCCCATGGTGTGGATTACTTAATTGATTGAATAAGGGGTCGTTTGGTTTGGATCATTTGGAATGGGTTGGAATGGAGTTAGAATCCATTCCATGTAGTTTTTTTGTTTAATTGGTTGAGATTTTTAGTAATGGAATCTCATTCCCAAGGGGTTCTAAATCTCCCTAATATCCATGGAATCTCATACTCACCCCTCCCCCTAAGATTCACAATTCATTATATAAATGAAGGATAGAATCCATTCTAACAATAAAACCAAACAACTTTGGATTAGTATGGGTTTTAGAATCTATACCTCTTTAATATGAGACTAGTTTAATACCCGTGCCATGCACGGTTATTACTAAAACTTAATTAATTGTTATTTTAATTATAAATAATTAAAAAAATGTAGTAATATATTTATCAACCTTTTTTATGCAAAAATATACATCAAACATTATTTATGTAATATTATACATAAAAATTTGAGTACAAAATCAACAAAATTATTATAAAGCTTATACAACTATATAAGGTTTATAATAAATTTTGTCGATTTGTACTCAATTTTGCATGTCAAACCATGATAGAATAAATACATTTCCTTGAATTTTATTAATAAAGTGTTATATAAATTAAATTATCTTGATTGTTGCAATAGTTTAATTTTAAAACTTTGAATGATTCAATATTGTTTATATGAAAAAAGTACATTACATGGTCAAATAAATATAAAAATAAAACATTACTTACATATTTACATTGTAAACTTTCATATACATTTTTACAACGTTCTTTTTAGTGTATGTATTTCACTATGTGATCCAACATGTAATATAATTTGTTAAAAATAATATTTATTTATTTTATTATATTTGATATAATCTTTCTTTAAGGTGATGATAGTAATTTTGCTGAAAAAATTGTCAATTTTTATATATAGAATTTAACTGTATTTGAAGATTTTATTTAGAAAATTATATTAGCAATATGGAGTAATATAATATTTTGGTGATAATTTTGACATATTTTCAATAATTCAAATGACAAGAATCTTTTTTATTATTATTACATGATAAAACTATGGTGCTCAAGTAGGAAGGTTATATTATAATAATATGTTAAATAGAAGTATTATTCTAAGAAGATTTGACTTTAAAAAAGAAAATTAAAAAAAAGAGATGGTTTTGGAGGGAAAAAACAGCACTAGAATTCCCGGTGTCTGTTTTAGTATTATGTAATTGATTACAATGTTTGAATCACAACTTTTTTTGCTTTATAAATGATATAGTTGTTATTATTTATTTATTATAAAACAATTGTGGCTAATAAAGTTGTATATTATGAATTTTTTATAGCCTAAATTATCTACTCTCGCCGTTACATATTACTCACAACAAAGGGGTATTATTTGTGAGACATAAAATATTCCTTTGTTGCGAGTAACATGTAACGGAGGGAGTATATCAAATTCGGCAAATGAATATGTCATATTGTCATATATATAAGTCAATTATTAGAATAATATTTAAAATTTAAATAGTACAAAATATATAGAATATTTTTGTGATATGTATTATAAGATATTTTATAGTATACAATGATATATAAAGATACTTAAAATATTAAATAAGATACACATTTTCCAAAAAAAAAAATGAATATTGTTTTCTTTTATGGAACCTGAAATCAAGTTACAACATTCCTTTTGGATTTGATACTAAACATAATTTTTTTATTGGAGATTTGGAGATGGTACATACACGGATATACATAAACAAATAAGATTTCATTGGTAATAAAAGGAGAGAAAAAAAAGAAAAAAATAAAAATAAATAGGAGGGAAAACTTTTCACCAGAATATGACAAGTGTTATATCAATATTCTCTTTTAGTATAGGTATTAGTATAGAACCCGTGTAATTGCACGGTTTTAAAAGTTCAAATACTAATATTTATAAAATTTAAACAATAGTTAATTTAATTCATAATATTGAAAACTTATACAACAATATAAATCACAATATGTACAACCATTTATCATAATAATGACTCATTTATGATATTTTCAATTTACTGATTTAAAAAAATAAAGACATACTAATGATATGAATAATAAGGTTTATGACCTTTATATATTTCGATTATATAAAAGCCATAAACTTTTAATCAGAATGATTTATATATGCCTATTTACACGTCTCATGTATTACCCTTTATGTGTATGTTTATTTAAATTAAGCTAATAAAATATACTCTCTTCGTTCCATAAGGTTGTCATAGTTTTTTAAAATAAAAACCAATTTACAAACGTCCATATTGTACATTTTTATCCTAAAATGATCAAAAGTTACACCAATATAAATAAAAGTTATTGTGATATATCTAATCATCTATCAATATTTTAAAATCTAACATCAACACTTTAATATCTGACATCAACAATTAAGTATTGATATCAATATTTTTAATATCAGATATCAAGATTTAATTCAATATTTGGTATAATAGTTAAATATGGAGTATCTGATATTAAAACTTTTATATTAGATATCAACAATTTAATGTTCTAATATAGTAGCTTAGCATCTTCATCATTTTCATCAAAATCATATCAACACTCCAGACACTTGAAGTTGGTGTCACACGGTGATACCAACATTTCCAACCTCTTATAAGGTCTCCCTATAAAGATCAAACCCACTATTCACCTTCAAAATCATATCTTATTAACCAAATCATTCTACGTATGTCCTAGCTTGAACATGTAAAATCAAAACCCAATTTGAAAATCAACCCGCAAACTCAGCCGCATGTTAGCCCCAATTTCTCAAATCTACAATCAGTGTTTTCCTACAATTCCTTTTTCAAGTTATAGATTTCAAAAATTAATCATCCAATTTAGGCTCAAGAATTATCGAATTCCTTTTCAAGTTACGCCTTATTACAACTCCTCGTTTTTTTTGTGGGTTTTCTTGATTTTATCCTAGGAAACAAAATGAAACCCAAATCCAATTCTTCGTAAATTATATATCAATGCAATAATATACAATGTGTTATCATCGAATTTATTGCGGAGGTAATAGTAGGAATTTGACTCCTAAATCTTAATGGTCGAAAATGTGTTCTAAATTTCTAATAATTGACTGATATATTCAATATATAAATACGGAGTAATTTTTCAATCATTATATAAGTACAGAACCATATTTATTTCTTTCAATATTTTATGCCTGTAGCCTTTTTTTTTTCAGTCACAATTTATTTAAGTATATATTTCTAGTTGTAGTCATAATTGAAACGATATGTTCAATGTATATAAATACAGAATAATATTTTCATTCATTTTATAAGTAAAGAGCTATATTCATTTGTTTCCTTCAATATTTTATGCTTGTATTATTTTTTATTTTTCCTGTCGCAATGTTTTTTAGTATATATTTCTAGTTGTAGTCGTAATTTGAACTAAGTCATAGAGAGTTGATTTCTTACAAATAAGTTTTTGATACTATGTATGTATATATATGTGTGTGATTATTATATTATAATATGAAATAATTTTTGAATAAAATTAGAAATATTCCGTATGATTTTCATATAATATCGAATGTATACTTATTATTTATAATATCTTTCAAGTATATTTGCATATTTGTCACATATTTTTTGTATAAATTTTTTTTAAAGGAATATTGCACGTATAATTTAAGATAAAAATATATTATGCAATTTTGTCACATAAGATCTAAATTATTCATAAGATATTTTAAAATCTTTTAATATTTGATCTTATTAGTATAGGCTAGTTGATCTTTTAAAAAGTGAGTTAATCTTTTAATAACTAAGTTAACTTTTAAAATCTTTTAATAATTGATCTAATTAGTTATAATAGGGAGGAATTGATTTTGTAAGTATATACACTTTATAAAATAATCTAATAATGTTATTTTTACATATTTCTTTATATGAATAATTTATTTTGCTGGAATATATTTGTTTAGTTATATGAATATATATTATATTAGATTATTTTGTAAAGTTAATGGACATATTAACCTATATTTTGCCTTGCAAGAATATTTTATTTTTAGTTATATGAATATACATATTTATAGTATATATATTGCGATATCACAATCTTAGTTGATATATTTAGAGGTGGAAAAATGAGTAGGAAAGTTTTTAAGCATAGATTGACACGTGTCAAGGTGTAGCTTGAATGCCCTATGTTTTAGTATAGTTATAGATATTGATATTGATTGATTCCATACCAATCCATTCCAACTTGATGAACCAAACACCCCCTAATAGAGTTGGTTGTCCAGCTTATCCTTCTCTTCCCATTCTCACTTATTACTATTAGTCAATGCAGTCAATCTTAATTTATAAATTAATGTACTTATATATGCTAATCTAATCATTTTTTATTTCTAAATATAACTTTTTTTTAGAGCTTATATGTTTTTCCTTCCTAGGAAACTGTCAAATAATCCTCCATCGCTACATATAGCTTAAGGTTCTTACCCAATTCACTCCTTGTCATCGATCTATAATTGGAAGTTATTAGGGTCGAAGCCAAAACGTGTCAACTAATACTTTCAAGTTTCATTTCAGCAGAGCAGAGCAGGTTTCAGCAATACTACTACTACTACTACTACCACCACCACCACCACCACTACTACTACTACCAAGTGCATATCATTGATTTAGGTGAATGAAAGCATAAATAGATGTGTACCATCTTTAACTTATATTAATAGTAGAAAGATACAAGACAATAGTTTAACACCTTCAAATTTTACAACCACATATCAAAATAGGAACATAATTAGATAAGAGTTTAACATCGTGGTGAATTAACCATCTACTTCCATATGATCTTCATTTTCATCATCTTCATTGTCGCTTTCCGATCGATTAGCCCTCCAAATTCGGCGTACTATGCGATGTCGCACTTTGGCCATATTATCTTTGCGCCATTGTGCAAACATATTTGAATGTGCTACTCCTATATTCGCATCATGTTGAATGATTGGTATGCCAAACGTATGCATCCGAATAAAATAATATTTTAATAAATATAAAATATTATTATTCCTTCAGGAAAAAAATATTATGGGTTATTATTATGATCAATATATATTTAGAAATTGTTATAAATTATTATTAATTAATATTATTATAAATATTAATAATTTTTTATTGTGAATTATTAATTATTATTATTATTAAGGAAATTCTTAATGATACTCATCCATTTTTTATTTTTCTCAACGGTAAACAACAAAAATTTCAATTATCTCTGATCCTCGTGAATTATTAGTATATATTAGCAATAACATTATTGATACATTTTGATTAAAATATTTAACTAGGTTTAGTTTTATTATTATTTTTTAATAATTAAAAAATTTTAAAAATATAAAAAAGAAAAAAAAAACCCACCACCCAGTTCTTCCCTCTGCCACCCTCTGCTTCCCAAGTTCCATCCCCGATCCCCTGCTCCCGGCCTGGTGCCAGCTGAGCCCGCCCAGAACCCCTCCCTTCCCCGGCGCGGCGCTGCACTGAACCTCCCTTCTCTCCTCATCGTATGCTGGCTCCATGACGATGATCTCATTAGGCCATCCACTGCTATATCCCTTTTCGTGGGATTCAACAAACATCCTCATCAAGTTCTAGAAAAATTCAATACAAATGGGTAATCAGAGACGATTCTCACTAAACCCATTTCTATTTTTTGGGTCTTCGTCGGTACCATCGCCGAGATCCGAAACTTTTCAATTCCAATGAACGCTGCAATGATCGTTGCCTCATGCCGCTGCATTTCATCTTAGTCAAGCCCTAATTGCTACTGCTGTCGGAAAATACATAATTGTAAAAATTGCCAAACCTTGATTTTCAATTGTTAAAATTAAGATTATCTTTTTGTGTGATTTTGATTATACGAAGTATGTGGTTGTTACTGTGTGATTGAGTTGGTATGTGATGTTGTTGAATATTGCTTGGTGTGTTGTAGAGTTTGATGCACTAACTAGAAGTAAGAAATGCAGCAGTAAGTACAAATCCACCATTGATGGTGGGTTTTGGGGCAAGGGGGATTAGGTGGTGGTTTAGGGGTCGCAACGCAGGGGAGGGGGGTTCAGCGCGGCGATAATGCCGGGAATGGGGTCCGGGAAGCTCAGCCGGCGCCGGGCCGGGAACAGGGGATTGGGGATGGGAGGCAGGGGGTGGCAGAGGGAAGAAGCGGGTGGTTTTTTTTTTTTTTTTTTATTATTATTTTTAAAATTTTTTAATTATTAAAAAATAATAATAAAACTAACCCTCATTAAATATTTTAACCAAAATATATCACTAATGTTATTACTAATATATATTAAGAATACATGAGTACCAGAGGTAATTGAAATTTTTGTTGTTCACCATTGAGTATAAAAAATTGATGAGCGAGAATTTCTCTTATTATTACTATTATTATTATTATTATTATTATTATTATTATTATTAAATATCAATTATTATTATTAAATATTAATTATAAATTATTATTATTATTATTATTATTATTATTATTATTATTAATTATTTGTTTTATATTAATTATTATTTTTAATCCAAAGCTGAGCAAAACAGCTCTAAAGAACAGGGCCTTATAGTATTTCTATGCATTGTGTATTCTTGTAGTTTAGAATTAGGCTCTATTCTTTTGAGTTTCTGGGCAGAGTAGGGATTAACAGAGCAGAGTAAATTTCAGCATAGCAGAGCAAAGCAGGGCAGGGTTTCCACACACTGCAGAGCAGAGCAGAGCAGGACAGGGCAGAGCAAAGCAAGGCAAAGCAGAGTAGAGCAAAACATATTTCTGTTCTGTATATGAAGCTAACAACTTCTCAGATTGCTTAGATTATTTCAAGACTTTGTGATTCTGTTTGATTGTTGCCAAACTGTAAAATATGTAATCCAAGACTTTGTAGTCTCCTAGGGGCTAGGGGTGCTTCAATGTAAAGTTCATGTATCAATGTATCAGTCATACCAAGACCTTTCAAGCTTTGAAGTCTATTTGCATCGATATTCATGATCGGGTATTTTAACTGCCTAATGCACCTTTGCTTTAGTTTAGGGACTATTATGCATCATATTAAAGTAAAGGTGGCATTTATGAAAACTCTCTTCGTGTAAGTAACATTGTTAAATCTCATCAATTGACGAGTTCAACAAAATTTCACTTATTTATTCTAAATAGGAATGTCGTCTTAGAATATTCAATCATAATATACTTGTATGTGAATATTATTTGGTATAGGGAGTACATTTCAATAGAAAAGTTAAATATTGATGCAAAAATTTGAGAAGTAAAGAGTTTATTTTTTGTTTTTACTTCTGTTAGAAAAAAAAATTCACTATTGTTTCAGCAACAAATGTCAAAAGCAGTAATCAAAGTATTCCTACTCAAAGATCTGACAATGAGACATTGTCTACTCCTGGTTTAAAGGCCTTCTCCTGCAACGACTTTGCGACTGGCATCAAATATTCCCACAATCTCACTGAAGGAGGTGAATCTGGTATAGTTTTCAAGGGGTGGATTGATAAGCAGACTCTCTGCCCTTCAGCCCCTGAAACTGGAATTCCTGTCTCTTTAAAACACCTTAAATCCGAAGGTTTCAAGGGCGATAAGGAGTGGTTGGTATGTTCACTACTGTATGTTTTGTGTTTGTTCCCTTCACATTAAGACTTCTTAGTCGAAATGTTTCCTCATACCTTATTTGATGCAGAAAAAGTTGAACTATATTGGCCAACTACATCATCCCAATCTAGTGAAACTTTTTGGATATCGAGTTGATAGTGAAGATTGGTTTCTAGTGTATGAGTTTTTGCCTAATGGAAGCCTAGAAAACTATTTGTTCAGAGGTAAGTGGCTTATTCTACTGATAGGTTTTTTAATTTTGTAATTTATAAGTGTAATTATGCTTGGAAGAATTACTGGTATTTGCTATATAAAGTCTTGATATACTCCCTCCGTTAACGATTAATTGCAACACTAGTACTTTTTGCGGAAACCAAAGCAAAACTTTTAAAAAGTGTTTAGGGTAGTGTTATTGTATATAGGGTCATGTGATTAGTGTATAAAAAAAAAGGAGGGAAGTGGGGGGCCCGGTTTTTTTTTTTAATAGGAGAGAGAATTTGAAAAAAATTTAGAGGGGAAATATTTGGGTTAAAAATTTTCCCTCTCTTTTTTTACCCCCTTTTTTCCCACCAAATTGTTGACTCTCTTTTCACATGTAATTTTTTCCCTCCAAACATTTCACTCTTTTTTAACCCCAACATTTTACCCTCCACTTGAAATTCTCATTCAAGGAGGACTACTTAAAGTCCCTGCCAACAGAAAGCAAAAATAAAACAACAACTAATTTTTCCCTCCACTTGACTTTTTCAATCAAGTGAGGGTATTTAACATACCACCTCCATAATTCTCAATTCAATTCGCAAATACAAATTAAAAACCAAAAGTCAGAAATTCTGATTACACCATTGTTTACAAAAGCAAGCTACCACTCTACTCCTAATTAATCCTAAGTTAGAAGCAGCATCTTCAATCCTTAGAAGTGTTCTGGTTCAGCACAGCAGAGTCCAAAAAATAACAGCCACCAACTTCATTACCAGCCCCAGAATCTGTGGAACTCAGGGTCATTAGATTGTCAAGCATGGCAGACATGTTCAATGATGGTTTTTTCAGCATTGACCAGATGCTCAACGATGAAGGCAACATGGGAGACCAATATTCAAGCAATGAGGGAACTCACAACTATCAACACAATGAGCAACAGGAAGAGACAACACATAATCCCAGAGCCAAGAAAGACCTCACTGTTTCCCAGAAAAGACAAATTGTTGATGCATTTTTATTAAACCAAAAGGCTGGAGAATTACCCAGAGGGTTTATAACACAGCAAGCACACAAGTTCCAGGTACACAGGATAACTGTTCACAGACTATTGAAAGACATTAAGTCACAAATGGCAGTGGGGCATGTGATTGATGTCAGAAGCAAGAAGGTGGGCAAAACAGGAAGAAAGCCAACAGAATACACAGATGAGTTTCTCCAATCAGCCCCTTTGTACAAGAGGACAGCTGAGAGAAGCTATGGTGCAACCCTCAAAATATCACATGTCACCATCCATAAGTTAAGAAAAAAGGGAGACTGAGAACACATACAAGCACACATCACCTTGCACTGACATCCAACCATAAGATAGCAAGACTGAAATGGGTGTTAAGTCATCTACTACCAGCTGAAGAGAATAGGGACCCTCAGTTTGTGGATATGCAGCAAGTAGTGCATATTGATGAGAAATGGTTCTACTTGAACCCAGAAACAAGGAGGTTCTACCTCCTGCCCAATGAACCTAACCCTTACATGTGCCAACAGTCTAAAAGGTTCAAGGTAAAAGGCATGTTCATGGCTGCCATTAGGAAGCCAATTTTTGATCCTCAAGGAGTAGTATTACATGATGGAAAATATGGGATGTTACCATTTGTTTACGAAAGCATAGCCAAGAAGAAAAGAAAAAACAAGGAGGCTGGTGCTGTGGAAATGAAAGCAATACAAAATGTGAACAAAGAGGCAATCAGGGCAATGCTGTTGGATATTGTGATTCCTGGCATCAAAGATAAAATGGCCATCCCACCTATCTAAGGAAATATGTATTTTAGTGGGATAATGCAAGACCCCATCAAATTCCGAGAGATGAGGAATTTAATGCAGCCTGTCAGTCAGATGGTTTCAATATCAAGTTCATTTACCAGCCAACTCAGTCTCCTGACCTAAATGTCCTAGATTTGGGGTTATTCAATGTGATACAATCCATACAATACCAATCATTTCCTAGGAACTTACAGGAACTCATTCAGAAAGTGAAAGAGGCTTATGACTTGTTTAATCCTGTTTTAAACAAGCATTGCTGGATAACCTTACAATGTTGCATGGAAGAAATACTCAATCATTTGGGGGGGAATAATTTTAGCCCACCACATAAAGGGAAGAAAAGGCTGGAAAGAATTGGCATGCTGCCAGAAGTACTACATGTGGACAGGACTCTGGTTCAACAGGTTGTTGATCACCTCAACAACATGTTCATACAAATAGGTGAAGGCAATGAAGATGAGGAAGGAATGAAAGTTGATGCAGACTAAGACACCACAGACAAATGAGCAAGCCTACAGTGAGACTGCCACACATAACCAGTGAAGATCAAGGAAGCTACTAGGTAGTGTTTGTTGTTTTTTTTTAGGACAATTTTTTGTGTTGCATTGGTTATGTGTGTTTTGTTTATTTTCAAGATCAATATGGTAAGGTAGTCTTGACTAGCTTATGTTCAACATGTGTAAACTTTTGACAATCAATATGATATTAATGGTGAAGTTTTTATGTACAAGAACCAATTACAGTGTTATTAGTAAACTGTGAACCAAATACATATACAGTACTATAAATCCATCAGATGGGTGTTGTGTTTTCACATAAAATGCATAGATGGTTCCCTCAACAACAACTTCTACTTAAAGTTGTTGGAGCAATTCCAATCATGCAAATTTTTTTTTAACTGAGTCCCTTCATCACTTGGATTTATAAAAGGCCAAAAACACTAGGTTAAGGGACTCTTACATAAGTTAGGACCACACAATTAGGCTACAATGTTCTATGAATGCACAAAACAGAAGGGACTCAACAGCAGGGGACTTATATGCATGAACAAATGCTTTGTGAATTAGCTTTCAAACCATTCAAACTAGGCAACATATCATTCATCAGATCATAAACCCCAAAGCCATGACTGCCAATTAACTACAACATGATCAATAACAAGGCCCAGCATACCCAACAAAAGCTCAGATAGCATACTAACTCACAAACACAACCAAACATATTGCCAACAATCACAATAAATCAAATTGTCCCAGAAAATGTCACAAGCAGCCACCACAATCCCAACAATCAGAAGAAACCCCAACAGCAAAACAAATAACCCACTGTTATCATAACAATACAGGCATAATACTACCATCCACTTCCATAACTCAGAATAGAGGACTCATAAACGCTATGTAACTAACAACAACGCCCGCAATTATGAACAACAATCTAGAATCATGCAAAAATTACTCCTAATCGACACAGAAATTACCAAAAATTTAGTAATCACGAACATAACCCAAAGAAATTACCAAAATCATGCAAAAATTACTCCAAATCGACACAGAATACCGAAAAGGGGCTATTTTTCAGAACCAACAAGCAAATCATAGAATCAACATCATTGAACAAAAGAAATAAACGCAATATTAAAGGTCAGAAAAGAGTTACGCTGCGTGATTAGGTAGAAGGGTTGTGATTCACAGGACCCTTAACAACCTCGTCAACAGGGGACCCAGATCTACCCCTTTTCTTGCCACAGACCACTCCAGCAGGCCCAGATCTACCAACATCTTCATTTTTTCCCTGCGTAGGGGCTACTGAAAGGGGTTCAACAACCTCACCCTTCACCACAGCTACAGAAGGACCCTTCGTCTTCGAACCCTCACCGGTTTTGCCCAGATCTACACCCTTAGACCCCTCACCTTCCTCATCAGAGTGATAAGGGGCAAGCTTTGCACCAACACCATACATACGGCGCATATCCAGGTAGGTAGCCCTACGCGTTCCAAACAACCTCATCTTCCCCGTACGACGTTGATATTTGTAGGTAGCAATAACTTCGTCATCTGGGTTGTTTTCATTTGGGGGACTCATTGTTATGGTTTTTTTAGGGAAGAAGCTGGGTAAACCAGATCTGGATGAATTAGGGTTTCAATGATGAGAGAGAGTGAGGTGAACCAGAAAGACAGAGGAAAGGGGGAGTATGTGGTAAAACAGATTTAAACGAGAGAGGAGAGAGAAGAAAGATCTGGAAATCCTGAGGTTTTGAAGAGCCTCATTAATGGAGGTAGGTGAGAGGACGAATAGAGTGAGCATTGATGAGAAGATGAAAAGAGGGTGTGATGGATGACTGGGCAGAAAGATCTAGATGAGGGTGGTTTTGGTGGGAATAATTATGTTAGATGTTTAGATAATAGGGTTTTTTTTATTACAACAACAACATAGGTTAGTAAATAATCAAATTTCAATAAGGGTAGGATGGTAACTTTGTCATTAAAATAGTTACTTAAAAAGGAAAAAATAAAAGTGTTGCAACTAATAGGTAGCACCTATTATTAGTAAGTGTTGCAATTAATCGTTAACGGAGGGAGTAATTTGTTGGAAAATATAAATGTAGTGGGAATTCAACCAATCTCCTGGGAAACAAGGATGAAAGTGGCTATAGGTGCTGCGAAAGGACTCTCTTTCCTTCATCACTAGTCATATATCGTTATCTTGATGCATCAAATATCTTTCTAGATGATGTATGTTCGTTGTTCAAACGACAACGAACTCCTACATTTTTTTCTATTGTCATTTATTTGTTGTGCAATTGTCTAATATATTTCTCGTACTTGCAGGAGTTTATTGTGAAGCTACCAACTTATCTAGCACCTCAGGTCATGGACATTCAGGGTTATGCAAGGCAGAGTTATGCAGCGCCAGAGTCTGTAGATACAAGTACGGAGATTGTCTATATGATCTAATTATACACTCGGATATATCTACATGTAGGTATACTCAAACCAACTTGTACACTTAAATTAACGCTAAAAAGGCCTTCATGTACCTAGAGCTAAGTTGTACACAAGAGTGTAATATTGTTATAAATCAATTGGCTTCTTTAGTTTATGGACCAGGCTGCGTTTCAACAAAGAGCGATGTCTATAGTTACGGGATTCTATTACTTGTACTACTAACAGGACGGCGTGCACTTACAAGATCAATGATTGGCAATCAGTATCTCCTAAACTGGGTGAAGTTATTTCGGAGAAAGTTGCTCCAAATCATGGATACCAAATTGGAAGGCCAATATCCTGAAAATGTTGCAGTTGTGGTTGCTGCACTTGCTTTACAGTTTACTGATTCTACTCCATATTCTAGGCTTGAAATGTCACAGGTCTTAGAAAAACTCCAGGAAGCTGTAAGCCTGTAACTATGTAATTAATGTAAGACCTTAAACATGTACAACTATGAAAATTCTCCTGCAGATTGTTATTCTTACTTTTATTTTCCCGACATTACATTCAGTGGAGATCAACCGGATTAGTTGGTTAAAGTTTTGGAGTGCTATTTTATATATGAGATTAAGTAATGTCTATATCATTGCTCTTTAGGAGTGTTTGGATTGAAGGAAATGGAGGGAAAGGAAGGGAAGGAAAATGGAGGGAGGGAGTTTCGTTCATTTGGATAAAAAAATTAGGGATGAAGGGAATTGGAGGGAAGAGAAATGAAGGGACTAAATTCTAAGAAAATGATCCCTCCAACGATGGAAAGATTTGGAATGAAAATTCATCCTTCTTCCTTCCCCTTCCTTTCCCTTCCCTTCCCTTCACCTCCCTCTCTTTCTTTTCCTTCCCTTAACATTACCCAAACAAACTGTAGTTGTCTCAAAATTGACAAAGGATGGAAGATTTTTTGTTAAGTGAATATTCTTTAAATATTACATTCACATCAAAGTTGCATCTATTATGGCCCTTATAGAATCGTACACAGTTACACACTAATATAAAGTACTTTGTATATGTATTTTTTTTTTTTTTTAGTCAATAAGAGTTAAAGACTATGGTGACCATGATACTAACAATTAGAGTACGTGATGAGAAGTTTAGCATAGTTGGAGCAAGCTTCAGTTCCCGCGGCTTGCTTTGTCCTAGGTTCAATGCTCATTACTCCCTTCCCGTGGGTATTAACCTCCTTGATACTCCTGTGAAGTTAAGGTAGGCCCACCTCATACCCCTAAAAAAATGATACTGACGTGTAAACATTTTTAATTTCCTGGTGTACGGTGCACCCGAGTGTATATAACAATCTCTTCTCTCTAAATAACAGGTGCGACCTTAGTCCGTATCAAACACATACATATACAGTCAACTGATATATACAAATAATATACAGTATAAAGTATATGTACATCTCATTATTACGCATGCAATAAGAAATATGCAACCTGAAAATATCCAGCTCATTATTCACTAATCACTGTTAGAGTAATAATAATTGTAATGCAAATCGGAGTGTTGCTAAGAGAGTGTTGTTACCCTCTAGCAACGTTGTGTGCAAGGAGCTAGCGAGAGAGCTATAGCTCTCAAGGCAAAAGAGTTGTGGCAAGGCCAAGCTATAGCTCGGATGACAGCTTGGCTTGCAGCAGATGCGAGCTATAGCTCGAGTGCGAGCGAGTGATAACACGTTGCTACGTGAGCGAGAGCTCGAGCGATAGCTCGCTGCTGCTGTTGCTTGAGGAAGGGCAAGCGAGTGCTTGACCTATAGCTCGCTGCACATGCTGCCGCTGCTTGCGGCACGCTCGGCCGCTTGTGGGCTTAGCGTGGAGGCCTTGTTTGCTTCATTTATATCCTTTTTTTGTACACATATATAAACTCTTCTAAGCCCTCAAATTGAGAGATACAATTTTGTTATCTCTGAAACCCAAAATACATAAACGCAAACCTACCCTTTGAGATCTGAACAGTTCTTGAGTAATTCCACTCTTCGAATTCGGGTACACGAATTACAAGGAGAGTTGTGTTAACATTGGGGGGCGTGCGTCATCAGGAAACCTGTACTGGTGGTGGCGTATTTCGCTTCTAATATAGTAGGTTCTGTTCTGCGGCACAACTGTATTATTGAGATCTTTAATCAAGTTTTTACCCTTTCATCTTCTCTATTTTATCATTGGAATCGACATGTATTTTACCAACAATCACTAGACATACTAAACATATAAAATAAGATATAAATTTGGATCGTAAAAATCATTAAAATTGTTTGGATATGGCGGTGACTTTGGTCTGTGATTCTGGGAACTTAACGGTGGTGCACATCACATGGGTTTTGTTTACAAGTGTTGTTGATAAAAAGGTAAAGAGATAGAATGAGAATGGAAAATAAATTAAAGGTTAGAAACAAAAAGCTAAGAGATGTAAACAAAATGACAAACAATGTTTTAAAGGTAAAAGTTCACGGGCTAGTACGGTTATCACACTACAAATAGTTCCATTCCTCTAAACACATGTCCCTTTTATTTTATTGCAATCATACATTAAATACAATAAAAGCTTATATTGATGTGTTCTTATTAGATTAGTACGAGTAGCAAAAATAAAAGCTTGTGTATGATAGGTTATAGGTTTGTATTTTATCTTCGTTTGTTTGAGGAGTACTAGATGCGATTTAGTCTTCAAGTTGGATAAAGTAACAAAAGTAAGTTTTATCTGTTCATGTTTCGCTTGATTTTAGTGAGTTCGATGTTACATAATGTATAAAATATAATCAAATAGCAAATAACGTTAATAAGGGGAAAATTAAAGTTTGATTTTAAAATGATGAATAATACCAAATGAGGCGTACTTACAATGAAATAGGGCGGTACTCTATTCTGTTGAATATAATTGATATTGTTATAACTTTTAATGCATAATACTACTTCTATTCTTGAAAGTTCGACTCACTTACTATTTATGTGGTCAAAATAAAATAACTTTGACCACATGTTACAATTTATATAATACAAATAAATTAGTATGAGTGATCTTATTAGATTCCCCTTATTATAAAATTTTCAAATATCAACTTTTTATAATTTTCACTTATACATAGCCGAAAATATTCATGGTCAAAGATGTTTATTAGAGACCACACAAATGCAAAGTGAGTCGAACTTTCAGGAACGGATGGAGTACATAATTTAAACAACATTACATTCTCATGGAACTAAGGAACATATAATTATACAATTGAAGCTTTAAATTTTTTAATTTCTGTGTAAAAGTTGCACATAATTTACAATCATTTTTTCTCATAAAAAGGAATTACTAAATCCATTATGTTCTTCCATGTATGTAAATCTGTAGAGAAAAAAAAGAGATTATAGCACCACCATTAAATTGTACAACTTTTTTTAAAAAAAAAAAAATTCTTAGTATCTTATGATTACAAAGGTTTTTTGTTTTTTTTTTTCTGGTATTTTCTTTCTTGAACACTTTTTTTTTATTCCGTGTTATAAATAAATCAAAATTATACTCCGTAATTCATAAAATGGATTTCATAAGAGAAAGATTGAAAGCAAAGTACAATACATACATTTATCATTAAAATGAAATGGACCCCACAATGAACCATCCTTAGCTAAAAAAGCGAATGACTTTCTCAATGTTACATTAAAATTGGTAAATAAAAACATGGAGACAACTTCTTAGTTCACTCTCCACTCAACTCTAGTAAAGTGGCTTAGCCCTCATTATTCATACCAATCACATAATACTAACAACAAAAACAGAGTACTCTGTTTTCCTTCTCTTCTTTTTTTCTTTATCTTAACACTTAACTACAAAACAAGAAGCAAAGAACCATACATTTTCTCTTTCTCTTCAAATGATGTTACCAAGTATATTGTTCATAATGTTATGTACATTGATAAATTGGGAAGAGTTTAGTGTGAATGCCGATAAGCCGCCGCCTGTGAAGGTAGGGAACATTAGCACGGTTGATGATGCAAAGAATTTCAGGATGTATTATGGTCAAACCTTCAAAGTTATCAAAAATGTTATCGATGGAAAGAGTTATCTTCTAATTCAGGTATGCTTGTAATATTTTTCCTATTATATAATTATCTATGTTACTATATTTTATGTCTAATTTCAATTTCCTTCTTAGTTGGAAAGTGATAATAGGATTGGAAGTTTTTAGTAAAACAGTAAGATCCAGTCAGTGTTACTAGTCTTATGACTTTATATGGTGTGTGGATCCAAAGTTTATACATAAGAGTAAAAGAAAACAAATTTGTACGTGGTCGAATCATGTTGAGCTTATAATTTATCGTAATATTTCCAAAACGAAATCAATTTAATATAAAAAGAGTGATATATACAAAACTCCTTGAAGAGATGAACTTAGTAGACAATAACAAAAATATAGGGTGGCAATTCGAGTCAACAAGTCTGATTCAGATCAGATTCGTGTTAAACTATATTGCCAAATTCACCTCTCCAAATAGAAAAAGGGAAACCCATAAACCAAAATAATCCACATCCATACTAAGAACCAAAAGTCAATGTTACTGTTAGCGGTATTTCATTTGTTACTCACTTACTCTTATGTTTAAGGATTCTAAAAAACTTCGAAAGCTAGTCAGTACTACAGTAACTAAGTATACCCGAGTGTATCTAAGAAATTTTGTTAGATGCGAAGTATTTACTTTACGTGTTCAATTAAAATCTTGCTGATTAAAACAATAAAACAAAAGTTGGATTCAACAATAATGGTCTGAACGAGATCTAATCTGGCCCGTAAACGATTAGGACCATCTGTTGCGTTATCGTAAAAGTAGAAGCATCGTTTGGAAGTTTTTGAAGAATTTAGACACCAACGTCACCATTTTTGTGTAGATTTTGCATAGGGAACTGTCTATCATCAATAATTCAATGAAATAGCAGAAAGCTAAAATAGCAATTGCAGTACTCATTTGTTAGTTTCCTATACCCATTTCTTATACTACGTAGAAATAAAATAATACAATGTAACATCCAATTTAGTATATACTTCGTATGAAATACATTTTTTAGAATTATGTAAGCTGAGTTTAGATTTATTAAGATAAAATACGCATCAATTGGTCTTATTAATTCTGAGTATTACTAATTCTTTTTCCGATTTTAGTTTTCTTATATGCAGCCTTAATAAATGCATTTATTTATCGATTTTTATAGGTGAAAATGTCAAATACTGTATAATTTAATGTACAAATACAATTATAATAAAAAAACATTAATTATATGATGAGTATAATTGATAATATACTTTGTATTACTTAACTATGGAAACCAATAAGAAAAACACATTAGAAACGTTTATATGTGCTATTTTCTTTTGTTCTTTACTTTTTTTTCTCATAAGTACATTCCTTCGAAAAATGTTCTTTACACTTATACTTTATTTTTCTCAAGGTATTCATCACCTCATTGATTATTCCAATTTCATACTTTTGCTACATGTTACCCATTTTTCATACTCTTTTTTCTTGCCTTAACTCTTGTGCAAATCACAAGAACATTTCATAATAAAGGTATTATTTCTAATCAAGTTTATATAATTGGATGTTGTAAAGATGGTTTCCTATACAATTGTAAGAGAAACTTACTTTCTTATAAAAGTATATTATAATTTTTTTTTTTTTTAATGAAATAAAGAGTTTTCAAACATAAACAAAGATAAACTCAAACACAAACGAGTCGTACATGATTAACATGAAGGTGTACTATTCAACTTTAGCTCATTACTAAACAAGCTTGAAAATTTTGTTGCTCTTCAAGTAAGTATTGCCTTTACGACAGAATTGAAGCGTAGAACAATTAGTTTATTTATTATTGCCCTGTTAATTATATACAGTATAAATGTATGTATAATAGAACTCCCACAACCACAATGTATAGTACTCGTGGTAGAAAATTAAACAGCAAGAGTAAAAAACAGAACCTAGTAAAATGTATATTTAGTTATTTGTTGTATACTTTACATTGTATATTCAGATATTCTACTATGCATTGGCAGAATAACTCAAAGATGGCAGGAAGGACAAAATACTGCACAAATCGGATGAAATCATTCGTCATCCCATTGTCGAATTACTCACTTGATACTGATACGTTTCCAGGCGTTCCAGGTAAAATATACTAGTAAAAAGTTTCTATCAATCAAAATGTCGAAAGTAGTCATCTAATCAGTTGCACACTATTTTCTGTGATTTCTTGCAGTTTCTTTCCTGGAGGTAATAATCAATCTCTAGCCTTTTTCGAGAATTCTGTTTATGGTGCTTTTGAAATTTACAGAAGTACCGCCATTTCAGTAAGTACTGCATAAGTTAAAATCCATGGTTTCGTCAACATCCATGTTTTAAATTATATGGTTATATCAGCTTCTAGGTATGCTTGGTACTTGCAAAGGTATAACATCAAATACTATGGCATCTGCGTGCTTAATGAATTTATATGAAGGAGGAGAGCTTACAATGGTAAATAAAAGTGAGACAGAACAACTTTCTCAATTTTCGGCTTACTTTACAAGTGCCAATGATCAACCACCAGCCTGCAATATTGCTACATTTCAAGCATCATCCGAAGACTTGCCTCTTCAGGTTGGCCGATTTTATAGTAATCTAGTTTTTCCCTTTACTTATTTGTCGACCTTGTTCTCTTCAACTGATTTTTACTGAACTGAGCTAATCCGCATTGATCAAAAGTAATACATATTTATTATTGATCTCTGATTGATTCACTTGCATATTTATCAGAAGCAACTACTTATTTTACTAAGCTAGTCGAAAAGGATTTGTTTTTCAGTTGAAGAGAACACGGCAGTCATAGTAGAAATATTGTTTAGTATTACACTTCTAAATATCCAAGTATTAATTGCTAGCGTGCAGAGTGGATCAAATATATAGCAGTGTTCGCGAATTTGGAAGTCAGAGCAAACTCTGTATATGATGCAGTAAGTGTTATTGAAATTCTTTGCTATGAAGTATGGATCAAACTGTGTGATATAACAGCGATATAAGAGTAGCCTATTATGTATAAAAATGTCTGATTTTGCTGTAGCTCAAAAACTCCTCTGTTTTAAAGATTAAGTAAAATAAAAATAAGGTTAACCAGAATCAAGTTTTCGGTTCTCAACTTGAAAATCAACTCCATGTTATCTTTTATAATTAGGCTAATGTTCACGATAACTGAAATGAGACTAGTTAATACATTCATGATCCTGTAGATTTATTTAACTTGTGCATATATATTATGTTTGTAGGTTAAGCAAAATTATTTGTGCTTGGCAAACATGTCAACAAACAGAAATTCGTCGTTCAAACCGGTTGTTGCTTGGATGCGTTATGAAGATGTAAGTGTGCCTCAAAGAGTTTAAAGTTAATACACATACAACCTTCATACTAAAAACTTACAGTGTTAGTGTTGGAGTTTAAAATTGGTGATTTTTTTAACTGAATTTCTGCAGGGTCAATGGTCCTTTACAACAGAAGCCTACAAAGAAAAGGTATGTTGCATTGTTATTGAGTATATTAATTTATTTGTCTATATGAATGATATAAGAATGTAGTTTGCAGTTTTGCACCAATATTATTTGATGAAAGGTATACCATTATCAATTTTAAGTAACACTGGAGCTGATCATTGATTAATTTATACGAAGTATTTGTTAAATTTCTTTCGTAAAACTTTTCTTCTTATCTGAATTTGGGGTGGTGCAGTTTGTGCAAGATGCAGGTGGAGAAAATGTTGATGAAACTGTGAACAAAATGTCCTATAACATATCAATTCCTGATGACCTTGATCAACTTCATGCTATCTTATGTGTGAGTTTATTACTCGTATTTAACTATTCAATTATTGGATTTTTACATACTTCATAGAATCATAGTGCTTACATGGAGTACTCGTACTCGGATCGGTATTCCATATGTAGAAATTTTCAATCAAGAAAATAATCCATATGTGAGTTGAACATAGTTGTTCCACGTTTAAAAAATAGAGGAAGAATAACGAACTTATAACACGAGTGGGTAGCTCGTACTATTGGCTCATGATACTACATGTTGAATAATGATAAGAGACGCAATAATAGGACATTGCATTTTGCATACAGATTTATTACAAGTTTTGAGTATTTCATAAGCATCATATCGACCCCAAAATCATAATGCTATTGTACCATGCTTATAACCGTATCATATCCTATATATGTTGTAGTCGGTGGATGCAGTGATTGATGAAACATACACTAGTGATCCTGCTACATACAACTTGACTACATTCCTCCAAAATGTTGGTGTTGAAGATAAATCTTGCTTTGCTTTCTTAACAAATGAAAGCGTATGGAGATATGACAAAAGAATGCAAAAGAATACCACTTCACTTGGTGAGCATGCATCACAATACATACATAATCTTCCTCGACCTTTAATCTTTATTACTACGTATTATAAAATATAGAGTTGATCATGAGTTAGGCCGTATTTTGAGTAAAAGTTGTTACAGATATGGGAAATCAAAACACTATCCGGTTTTTTTTTTTTTCGTCTTAAATTCCAAATTAGTTAGTGCCTATGTATATTGAAATTAAACTTTTGACATTCGTATTTTGTTTATGGTTCTCAAGATTGGTACGACGGCGCCGTGTCTCAACCACAACTAGTATTGGCAGACTTGATGGAAGCAATCTTTCCTACAGGAAACTACACAAGTACTTATTTTAGAAACCTTGCTAAGGTAATTTTTCCTCTTTGTTTAAAAAACAAAAGTATTAGTAATATTAACAATTATATTAATTATTTGAGTATTTTTCTTACTTGTAATTATACAGGGAGAGCAGATTATTGACATTACAACTTATGAGAAATGTAATAGTGATAGTGCTTTGGAACCAACAATCATACCTTGTAATAGTAAAATTTACTAGTGTTTTTGACATTACTATATATTATCAATTTAAACGTACCATAAGTGTTTATGATAATGACTAATTAAATTGTAATTTATTTCTTTAGAGTTTTAAGTATGAATTCGATTTTGATCCTGCCTAATATATGTCTCTTGTAATCTTGTTGCTTTAATTTAATTAGAGGCTTTACTATATCCTATGCGTTTTTAAACTTTACGTACCTCTTTTCCAAATTTTCACTACCTTTGCAATTTACCCTTTATTAGAAAATTCGTTAGTTGTAACAAAAAATTGACACGTCTAACTAGACACTAACCACTACTCTTAAGTTGATGGCTACTCTAATTCTCCCATTGGAGTCGCCAAACTATAGGGCCAGGGTCGAATATAATTGCGTACATTAAATATGGTTACATGTAATAGCGTATATAAGTTGCATGGAATTAAATTTAACGTTGATTAGGATAAATTAATGAACAAAGTAGGGAGCCGGTAACAAGTTTTAAGCACTTGTAAATCGTTATTCATTCTCACAAATAAGGAGCAAATGCAACCATGAAAGGGATATCGATCTGCTAAGGTTACACCCATTCAACAAGCTATGAGGTCATAGACTCACATATGGTCTTCCATCGTTTAGGATTTGAGAATAATGTGTTGGGGATTTTAGTAATAACAAGGGTTACAAAGAAATGGAAATGAAAATTTCAAAAAAAAAAATATCTTCGAGGCGTGAACGGGATCATTTTCCCAAAATTATAATTCCGACCCTATACTACAACCGAATATCACGGAAATTACTCAGGAGATACAACGAAGAACAATTGCTATCACTTGTAGGATGATAGCAATTCAATGTACTCAAGTACGTGTTTGTGATTTTGGGATGATGAGCAATAACTTGCAAAAGGTTTTTCATCAAGAGCAATAACTTCCTCTGTTTTTATTACTTGACCCATTGCAAATAGGCACAAAAATTAAGCAACAATAGACTAAAAAGCTAAAAGACCAAGCTACCCCTGCCCATTACCCCTGTCCACTACTCCTGTCCACTAACTATTCTCCTCCACTGACTTTTCAATCTCACCACCACATCCCCTCACGCCGCCACCACAATCCCTATGCCACCACCAAATTAACGCCGCACACGCCACTGTACCCTCTCACTCCACCACTATAGCCCCCTACGCAGCCACCACAACCGTCATATGTAACACCCCCAAATTGCTCTCCAATAATAATTACCAAAAACATGGTTTACAGAGTAACTTACGGATATTACCGCCACGTGATTACGTAAGGCTTTTCAAAACAGAGATTTGCAGCGGAAGAAATACATACTTAACTTTTATATATTATTAATAATAGTAATAATAACTTTCAAAATTGAACCATATGAGAACTCTTCATACAAAACGTCAACCATGAAACCTAGACTACATGATTATCGACCTTCATCCTCAATGCCACATTTAGATCACGTCGAGTCATCATCACCTATCTAAGTAGCGCCAAGCCAAAACAAAAGAGAAATACGTATTAGCAAAAACGTTAAGTACATACCAATGCTAGATACGTAAAATCAAGTTATTTAATTAAACATGCTTTCGTAAAATTTAGCATTTATAATAACAATTATTCAAATCTTCCATAAATAGAAATTTCAAGTTTGGAAACTTTACAAAAATTATCAACATTTCAAAACCAACGACTTTCCAAAATAGGTTCCAATAGAAATGGAAGATCAATGTTTTCGCAAACCATTTTTCCAACCTAAGTGTGCACACCCCCCAAGCTAGTAACTCCTTACATAGTGCTATATTTGGGAAAAAGACTAGATCATACATAGTTCATTGCCTTATCATTATCTCGGCATAGTGGGATTTATAAAATCCGATAAATATCTTTGATAAATTAATCTTCCAATTCCCATGTATGGGATGATTAAAATGATATTGGATAACATATTGAACATCAAAATTATTAGTTTATTTCATTCTTCGATTGTTATAGGGAAAAAAAAGCAACATTAGCTTAAAAAGTTCAAAACATATTTTGGGTTACATACATATATAAAATAGCTATAGGTTTGATGTATGAGAAAATAAAAGAAATGAGATTAATTTTGTTATGGTGGATTGTTGTTAAATATACATGTATAAAACCATTATATATTCAAGTTTATGAATATGATTCACTCTTTTTAATAAAACATTGTAGAATAAGATGTGTCATTGGAGTAGTGGTTTTATTAAAGGAAATTCTACGTGGTGGCCTCATGGTTTTAATTTTTCTACGTGGAAGACGATGTTTTTTTCAACTCTCTTTAGTGGCACGCAAGTTTCACAAATTTGATTTAAGTGGCCTAATTATCATTAAATGGGCTAACCAACTAATAAATGACTCATTTTCCAACTAAATTACGCAAAAAGACTAACCTACCCCTGAATTAATTGATTCCCTCTCCCTTTTCATCAGTTTCCCGCCCCTATCATGAAATCCCTCTTTATATATTCCTTCCCTCTTCCAATTCTTGCGTTAGGGTTTCATATCAATTATCAATATCCAAAAGGTTCTCACCATGAATTTTCGTGGAGTTTCTTTAAGGAAGAGAGGCACAACTAATGGAAGTTTTAATTGGGTAAGGATGAAGCACTGCAATTGCAACCCTCCCAAAAACGCTAAGGTTAGGTTTTCTGATTTCATGAGCAATCCAAAGAAGCTATACTACAGATGTAGGGAAAAAATCAGAGGTTTCGAATTTTTTGACTGGGTTACTGAAGATGATGTGAGTTTTTATGATGCATCACCAAATTCTGAGATTGCTACAATACATAACATGGTGGAAGACCTTTTTGTTTGCTACAAGAGGCTTATGAAGATTGCTATTATCATATTAGTAATTTGTCTCTTTTTTTACCTTAAATGATGTAAATAGGGTAATGAAGGAAAGGGGAGTATCAAGTAGTTCAATCCTAATTAGTTATGTAATCAGGGTAGTGATGCAATTTGTATGGGTTTTATGAATGCAGTTATGTAATTCAACCACGTATAAATAAAAACTCAATTATGGTACTTACTTTCTATTATATTTACATGTGCTGTTAATGAAACAAAGTTGAGGTTCATGATAATTTAGTCCCTAATTTAGTGTAACAGATTAAAAAGTTGCTCAGAGTTCAAATAATTCCAACATTCCAGAAAGCACTCAAGAGCTGAATGAGATTGCATTATAACATGAAATTAAAATGCTGTGGCAATGTAAAAAAACAAGACATATGATCAAGTTAAAGTACAGATCATATATAAACCTTAGTTCAAAAACCGGCCAAGCAATTGCACTGTCATTTACAAAAAAAACACCCAACTTGGTCTTAGTTCAGCAAGCTACATGACAGATTAGACTTTGTTCTTTCCTTTCCCATACTTCTTTGACCTAGTAATAGGTTGGCTGCTTGGACCTTCAAATGCTTGATATGAATGCTGAGTTGTGTTAATGGAGGGTTGTGGTTAAGAAACAAACTGCAATGAGCTTCTTGTGGATCTTTTAGGTGGGTTTGGTGGCTTTGATGTGGAGGTACTCTTTGGTGCATTGTGTTTAGTGGATTCAGAAGTTTTCTTTGCCGCATTTTTAGCTTTTACCTTTGCAATTCTCTGCCCATCCCTAGCACTTTGCTCTGCTGCTGTGAGTCCACCCTTACATGTCTGTTTGTTGTGTCCATAACACATACATCTCTGACATTGGACTGTTGTAGACCTTTTTCCTTTGTCTGATTCATCAGGTGCCCTTCTTCTTTGTCTAGATGGCCTACCAATGCCTCTTTCATCTGTGGTGGTAGCACTACAAGAAAGCAGCTTGATTCCGACGGATACGAAATTCTGCGGAAAAAGCATAATTTACGACGGAATTATTTTTCGTTAGATGTTTTCGACGAATTCAAAAAATCCGTTGAAAGTCCGTTGAAAATTTTCGACGGAAATAAATTTCATCGATATATATGTGCTTTCCGACGGAATTTTCCGTCGGAATATAATTAAAAAAAAATCATTTTCCAAACCCTACCCAAATAAAACCCGGTTACTCCCCTTCTCCAACCCAAGCACCCCTCTTTCTTCTCTTTACTTCTCCTTCTCTTTCTCTCTCCTCTTCTTCGTTCTCTGTTCTCCTCCTTTCGCAACTCTTCTCCTCCTTCTTCCTCTCTTCCTCTTTTCTTTCTTTCTTCTTTTTCCACTTCTCTTTCCCTTCCTCTTCTTCGTTCTCTGTTCTCCTCCTTCTTTCGCAGCTCTTCTCCTTCTCTTTATTTCTTCTCTTTCCTCTTCTCCATCCCTTTCTGTCCTCGCTTTACTTTGTCGTCGGCGTCACGACGCCAGTTGAGCTTCTTGAAAGGAATGGTGTCCTTCCAACAAGTGTATTATTCCGATAGAGGGTTCAGAATTATCGGAAAGCTAATTCTCCAGTAAGGTCAAGTTATCGAAATGTCTAGGTGGAGGCCGCTTCCGATCAGTAATATTAATGTTCAATTAATATTAGAGCTTAATCTAGACTGAACGCTTCGAGTTGAACCCAATCGAGCAACCGATCCGAGACGACGAATCAATCCGAAGGATATAATGAGTCGTCAGAGTTTTACGAACAAAGACGTCGGATATCGAGCTTAGAGCGTCGAGATCGAGCGTCGCAAGTCAAGTCGAATTTAGAATTTGACGAGACGCAAAATCAATCGAGTTACAAGTACGAACCTAGCCGTAGCCTCGCATTGGCCTAGCCATGTGAGTGTTAGGCTAGGCGAGGTCCAACTCAAGCCTAGCATGCTAGGCGTGCTAGGACATGCGCGCTAGGCAAGGCCTAGCACTGCCCAACACCATCGCACCATCGCATGTGCGTGTGGATGTGCTGGGCACTGGCAGTAGGCAAGGCCTAGCACTGCCCAGCACCATCGCATGTGCGTGTGGATGTGCTGGGCGCTGGCAGTAGGCAAGACGTAGCACTGCACAACACCATCGCAGCATGTGCGTGTGCGTTGCTAGCACAGCACCATCGCTGCATGTGCGTGTGCTCGTGAATCGCTAATACAAGACCAAGCAAGCAGTGTGTTGGTATGTGTGTGCGTAGCAATGCAGCGCCCAGCATGCGTGACTCGCTAGAAGCACGCATGCTGGCAG